GATCTTTATCAACACAATTGATAAAAAAACAAGCTTGTACAATGTACATGTTGGAAATCTGGTCTATAAATAAGTAAATTACTAAGAAATAATAAAATTAACGTTTTACGAGACGATCTTCGCAATAATATTACAAACGAAATTGTCCGATTGAAGCTTGAATACTGGTTAAGTCCTATTTCTGCCCAAATATAAGTACCCAGATTGTATCTCAAGTCCAAATACACATTGGTTCATAAAATAACGTATCAAGATATAAATAAAATAAGTAACAATAGTCTATTATAAAAATAAAATTTTATCAATATGTAATGCTAATTAATTTTGTTACACAACATAATTACATAAATATCAACTTTTATATTATTTCACCATGTATCGAGGATTTAGCGTAACCACAATAAAATTTCAATGGTGGGGTCCTATTTCGTTGTATGTACCGAACATTACAAAATATTCATCTTAGTTATATTATCATTTTCATTTTATCATAATCTGAAGATTGTGAACTATAATTAAATCAATTTATTTTTTTGTTTAAATATTTGCCAGGCAATAACAGATAATAAAACAATCAACACAATTTATGAATAATAAATAATGTATAGGTATATCTTATGATAGACAATATTTTGTTATAATGTAATTTAATATTAAAATTAATTAGTTAATTTTTATGAGACGGGCTTAGTAGATAAAATGTATTATAAACAATCTACAAAGGTTTTAATTCAAGTTATTTTAAGTTAAGTTAAAACTTGATCGTTAAGTTAGAAGTTAATATTAACAAATAATTAATTTAACTTACTAAATTTAAAATTAATATAGGAAATAAAACATTAATTTAACTCGATTGAAAAAAAGTTAATTTACAATTTTAATTAATATACGAATCACATAAAAGTATTTTTTGCTAATTATAGTATTAGATTATTATTTTATTTAAAACGGAAATGTAAATTTCAAGTGTACAATAATTGTGTATAAATGAAACTAATAAAACCAACAATTTCAGAAACATTTTTATTTTTTATTTAATGGATTATTTTTAAATTAACTGCAAAAATATCTAATTTATTTTAATAGTCAATTAAACCAGTCAAGTTCTTAAGTTAACTACACTATTAATTAATTATAGTTAATAATTATGAAAAGTTTTCAAGTTAACTTAAAATTTTATTAACTAGTCAACCTTTGATCACGTGCATTGTTTATTTGTATACATAACTGAGCTATAATCTAAAGAACTTTTGCGATGAGAATTGGAAAACGATGGCGGATAATGTACCGCCGCAACCTTCCGTCCTGGGTGTAAAATACGATCGCGCGATATACGTGCGAATATTCGCGTGCCGCAAAGCCATAATGCATATTATAATACGCTAAACAATAATGGTTTTGTGTGTAAATTATATGGAATACACCTATACATTTTAATATAATATAGCTACGCGATTTTTTTAATGAGAAATTTGAGCCGTTCGTGTAACCCGACTCTTGGGCGGCGGCGGTGACGGTAGTCAAAACAATATTAAATACACACGCACACTAAAACGATATAGCGTGTGTAATGTCTATGCACACTACAAGAGTATACATTTATTGTTATATATATATATATATATATGTGTGTGTGTGTGTGGCAATACAACATTAGTATACAAATTACATTATAGGTTATATGTCACCGGAAGTGTATAACGCAGTTAAGCAATTTGTTATATAGGTACATACAAATATACAAAAACGCACTTGAACCCATCGAATTGTTCTTTACGGTTGTATATAGTATTATATGTATCTGATGGATTAAATAATTATTAAATATTATTATTTATTTAAACGTACGAAATATGTACTAACCGGCTGCCGAGTAATCTGTAAAACGTCTTGCGAAATTCAGAGATAAATGTCCACTCTTAATAAATTACAACAACACCACGGTCCACGATGTTAAACACATTATTAGTTAAAGCGAACAGGGTACGTTTAACGATTTATAGATGGATATTAAAAAATATATATTTATATACTTTTATGAAATGTCGATATGTAGTTATCGTGGTATTAAGAATTGTATAATATTATATTGCTAAACGCGCACCTATAGTATAGTTATCTACAAGTATACTTTTAGACTCCGCCCATATAATACCGATTACATATCAGTAGGTATACGGAAATTCTTTTTATGCTATGTGGGTATAGAAAAAACAAAATTATATGTATAAAAATAAAAATAAAATATAAAACATTTTATTATGCGAATACATACAACTGATAGATATTTAAATTTTAACTCTTTTCGATGGATTTTATGTTTTGAAAAATTTTCTGTTTAGTATAAAAACAGATAGTTTGGAATACGTTTATAGCTATTATATATACATAGGTAAGGTATATATTCCAATACACATCTCATATAAATTAATTTTTGTTTATGTATTCATAAAATACATAATTTTATATATTTTATACAATGACTTAATTTTCTTACTTCAGCTAATTAAATAAAATTATGCTATTATAGTTTGTAAAGGGTACATTTTTGTTTTTTAATTCAATATAATAAACACCAATCAAAATGGTTTAAACGTTTAATTAAATTAAATTCTATTCAATATTTATAGTATTCATACCTATATAGCTATATAGATATTTAGTAGTCTATGTATTAAATATTGAATAATAATAGAAGAATAAACATTTTTATAGATATATTTTATTACAATTTTAAGGTTTAAGTCGATATAATAGTAATTATATGTTACTTTTAATATGATTTTAAATAATTGTGATTCTCATAAATTGTGCCAGTAACTTTTTTTGCACTTCCAACCATATGATTATTTCAACTTATCATAATATTTTTAATATTTATAAATTATAATAATAAACTTAAGACCTGTTATAAATTAAAAACGGGTTTGCTAATTGCTCTGCGGTGCATTAAGTGTTAATAGTGGGTTTGTGGTCAGTAATATATTTGAATTCAAATAATTCAATAATGATATATCATTGAATAAAAAAAAAATTTAAATATAAATACAATTCTAAGTAGAAACGATCAGCCTGTATCATTAAGTATATATTTTCATGAAATGTTTTTTCGATGTATTTAAAATAAAACATAAATATTATATTTATATACTATATTAATATATTATTGTTTTAATTTTTGAAATAATACCTTCTTATTCTAAACAGTGTGAATAAGCTCATCATAGTATAGATAAGTAGATAGGTAATAACTTAAAATTAAATTTTAAAATTTCCTTCAGTTTAATTAATTATATACGTAAAAGTTTTAAAATAACCATAGTTACAAAACAATTATTTTAATAATAATATTGGATTTACGAAAAAATTTTCATTTTTCTATATTTGTTTGTTTTTCTAATTATAAATAGTAAGTACTGGTAATTTTTAACCTTTTTAAAATACAAAATATATCCAATTTTCTATTTAAAACCACTCTCAAAGTTTAAAATGGAATGATTTTCCGACATTTTATCGAGTAAATGGGCGCAAAAATCCACACACACAGCACACACTCATCTTTTTAAAATCAATACATTCATCGATCCGCTTAAAATCTAAATTGTATATAATTTTAGATTTAAAATAAAAAAAGTAAATTATATACAAAAAAACTGCAATACCTACTAATTTGTATACACCTCCTACATGAACACCACTGAACTGCAGTTTTCTAGGGTTGTAAGTTAGGTTGGTTAGGTTAGGTTAGAAACAATTTTTTTTTTTACTGTTACAGTAACAGCTATAGTCATGACAACTAAACTAACAATTAATCGTTACTACAAATAATAATAATTATTTATTATTATGTATAATAATTTATATTATTTATTTTACTAACGATTTAGCATTACAAAATAATAGTAATCACTAAAAATATATTCTAGTTATATAATTTAATGTTTTCTAGTTTGTACTGTAGTATATAAAATATTTTTAATTGACTAAATGTATGTATTCATTTCATATATTAAAAACATAACAAAAAGTTATCTTATTAAATAACTTATTTCTTTCCTATTATGATGTATTTTTCAATATTTGGAATTGTTGTTTTCATAATGAATTCTCTATTTGACTTTTTGTGGTGTACCCATAATTTTTCAATAGTGAAGTATCCATTCTATTAAATATTGATTTTCAAATACTTTATCTTTTTAGCTTAAAGATTTTTTTTTATTTTGAATACAGTAAAAAAAAAAAAAAATTAAAAATTAAATAAAAAATAATAATATACAAAATTAGTGAATAATAATATATTTTGTTTATGTGGCTCATAAAAGCAAAATTTTGATTACCGTTTCAAAAAAAACATAAGAGATAATTGAGAAGTAATTTATAGTCATACTAAATCAAATGATTTAAAATTTTCAATAAAATTTTTGTAAAACATGATTAATATAACGCTATTGATCATAGTATTATTATTCATGATTTATTATTTATTTTACTTTGTTTTTATTTTTATGTCTTTATTTAAATATAAATATTCTCACTTGCAGGTACCTATATTATTTTTTATTTTAAATTAGAAAATTTAATTATAAGATTTTTTTCGTATTTTTAACGACTTTTTCTCACTAGAAATTTCTAAACGTTCCAATCAAAATACTATCTATACTTTATCATGGAGTATTTACTGTAATCATTTGAATCGAGTGCTATGACAAATCTAAAAATGTTATACCTACCAACATTTGTAAAATAATTTACAAATAATTAAAATTTTACTATACTTACACCTATGTTTTTATCACAGAAATAATTTTAACTACTAAAATAAATATAACCATGTATATAATAGGTATATAGATCACAGTTAGTTATAATTATTGATGATTTATAGGTCTACGAGTATTTATAATCTATTAGTTAGGTTATGGTGATTAGTAATATAATTTGGGTTTTAACTGTACACACGATTATAATATAATAATGATAATTATCGATTTTGTTAACAGAATTACACAATCGGCTTTCTCAAATGTTATTGGAACCTCAGCAACAACAGCACGGTGGTGGCGAAGAGAGAGGCGACGACCGGCATCGTCGCCATGGACGGCACCACAACGACGAGCACATGAGTGACGGCAGTGTCGGTGGCAACGAACAACAGCAGCAAATGCTGTTACTGCACCAACACCATCTGAATCAGCAACACTTACAGCACCAACAACACCACCCGCACCAGCAAGGCCACCAGTCGCAGTTGCTCCAACAGATGCCGCAACATCAGCAGCACCAGCACCAGCAGCACCAAGACAATGAACTGCAACAGCACCAACAGATGCAACAGCAACGCCAACACGAACAGTTGGACGGGCACCTCCACCAACACCATCAACAACTGCATCACGACCAACAGCTGCACGATCTCCACCACCAAAGCCTGCAACACCAGCAAAACTTGCAACAGCACCAGCAGAGCTTTCAGCAGCAGCAGCAACAGCAACAGCAGCAGTACGGCGAGGTGAACCAGCTGGGCGGCGTGTTCGTCAACGGCCGGCCGTTACCTAACGCTGTTCGCGTGCGCATCGTCGAACTGGCCCGCGTCGGCATCCGGCCGTGCGACATCAGCCGTCAGCTGCGCGTCTCGCACGGGTGCGTGTCCAAGATCCTCGCCAGGTACCACGAGACCGGAAGCGTACTGCCCGGGGCCATCGGAGGCAGTAAGCCCCGGGTGACCACGCCAAGGGTGGTGGCGTACATTGGCCGGTTGAAACGCAAGGACCCGGGCGTGTTCGCCTGGGAGATTCGGGACCGGCTGCTCGCCGACGGCGTGTGCGATAAGTTCAACGTGCCCAGCGTATCGAGCATTAGCCGGATACTGCGCAATAAGATCGGATCGACGGGACCGACCCAAAACGCAGCGTCGCAGCAGCCGACGGCCGTCATGACCGGTGGCGGCGGCCTGTCGCCGACCACCGCCGCGGCGGCGCATCACATGTACGGACCGTACCATCACCACCATCACCACCACCCGTCCGGGTCACCGCCGTCCGTGGCCGCGGGCTATCAGCTCCACCACCACCACCAACACGGCCAATACCACCACCAACACCATCAGCTCTACCACAACCATCACTACCAACAGCACCAACACCTGTGTTCACCGCCGCCACCGCCTCCACCGCCCCCGCCACCGCAGTCGGGGCTATCCCCCGCCGTGCCGCCGGCGACGACCGGCTCGACGTGCTGTTCTCCGTCCGTACCGGTCGCGGCGTCTAGGTCTCTGACATCGCCGTCACTGGTGACGCAGCTACAGCCACCGGCGCCGCCGCCGCCACAACACTGTTGGCCGAGTCCGCACGCCGTCACCGACATACTCGCCGCAGCGGCCGCGCTCGCAACAGCATCAGCACCCCTTGCCCGTCCAGCGCACCACCTGCGCCCGTCGCAACACCACCACGAGCAGCCATTACGGCGTCGGCGGCGGAAGCGGCGGTGGCGGCGGCAGCGACACCGCGGCCGCTACGACGGCCGCCGCCGCAGCCGCCGCCGAGCAGCAGCCCGCGGCCGCAGCGGATTACGACACGTCGGCCGGCGGTAGCGCCGCTGCTGCCGCGGCCGCTGCGGCGTACAACACGTACTGCAGCAGTTACTACCATCACGCAATGGTATACGCGGCCACGGCGGCGGGCAGTATTGCGGCTGCCGGCCGCCATCCGTCGCACCATCTGAGCACGACGCCGCCGTGCACGGCCGCGGCCGTGTGGCCGCACTCGATAGCTCCGCCGCCGCCGCCGCCGCTGCCGCCACTTACGCAGTCGCCGACACCGTCACCGCCGATTTCGGTGGCAACGACCATCGCGTGACCATTACCGCGGTAGTGAATTCCCGCGACGGAACTCCTAACAGAAGAGACGATAATAATATATATGTGATCATTGTACTATTGTCGTTTTTTTTTATGAGAAAAAACTTTAGGTACCTATTTAGAAGGTCGCTCGTCTGCGTTTAACTTTGTATGTAACTTTAACGTAATAATAATGTTATACAAGTTATAAGTACTAAAACAATTATTATGTACAATTATTTAGTTAAACACACTATACATAATATAGGCACATTTGTGTAATAAAATTGTGTTCATCTTTCCATAGTTCGTATGATTTGAACTAAATATTTTTTATTTTATTTTTTTAACTTATCTTGTACGATGTCGGTATTTATTATACTGTGCGCGCGTAAATTAATTAAAAACGGCCATATTATATTTTATATGTATACACTTTAAGTACAGAAAGTGGCAGAAAAAAATTGTAGTCCAGCCGACAAAATAAACTCAATTATACGTCGTCACTCTTGTCTATTGTATTACATGCATCAAATATATACTTCCATAGGTTAAGTATATTATGTACATATTATATGTTTATATACGTGTATTATTTATTTAAATATTCTTTTGTTTTACATAAGAGTTTATTATATATTAATATTTTACAACGTTGACTGTGGTTTTTTTTATTTTTGTTAATTATACCATCCAAATTATACGAAATTGAATATTAAAATACTAATACTGCCATGATGACCTAAATTATAAGAGCTGTAACCTAAATTATTGTGTAGGTTGTGGCATGTTATTCTATGACTTAGTTTAATCACATAAAAGTTATGTGAATATGAGCATTGATTATATTAATTGCAGTGTCTCATTATCAATTAATTACTAGTGTTATTACATTGTTTATTTTTTAAATTTATGCTTAACTTCTTAAATAGATTAAAGACATAATAATTTTATAGTAGGTATACTATGTATACCATCTTCAAATGTATTAACTATCGGAACATATTATTTATACCAAAATAAATATCACTTAATACATATACAAGGGGTTCGGTATAGGCAACTTTTTCGACATTTTACAAAAATGCAAATTTAGCTGTTACAAAATAATAAAAAGTATTCTAAAAGCATTAATGAATGGTCTCTTATAACAATACCACAAATAATTATCCAATTTTTAAATTTAATTTAAATAGTTTATTGGCATTTGAGTGTATTTTTAAGTATTACGAGTATCAACTTGAAAATTTTTGTGATAAAACAAAAAATAATTGTAAAGGATAAAAATTTTTTATAATGTTTTAAATATACATTTAAGAATAATAATTTAATGTATCAAAAATCATCAAAGTTTAATAATATTATCAATCAAAATTATGAATTATAATATACTTAATAATTTTTACGTTTCAGTGATAATAATGTTTATAATAGATAACAAATAATAAAAACGTTTTTAAAATAATATTATTTTAACTACTTGATAATTGTCAATAGCTGAAAAACGTATAATAGTTTCTTTCAGTAATACTTGACATCTTGAAATCGACAATTATATTTTTAATTTCAGCATCAAAAATTGTATCAATTATTACTTTGTATTTTAGATAAATATTTTGTTTTATAGAGTGATTTTAATCCGAATTTCTCGGGTACCAGGCGTCGAATGTTTCGCTTGTGAAAGCGAACATTCACATATACGTACAAAAATTACCTATACAAAACGCCGTTTATACATTTTATCAATGTAATATGATAATGATTAAAATTTTAATTCCATTTAAAAAAAAAAAAAAATGATTAATATAAATACTGAAATCGTGACATGACTTATTATACATGTGTTATATAATATAAATTTCTAAAAAAATGTAATAAGTGGGCTAGGATTTATATGCAACAGTATGGTTTTTTTCGCAACTTTTATTTATTACTTTTGTCCAAAAATCACCTCATGATGAGGAAAATTTTGATGTTTTTATTTGCATATTTTTGGATATTTTGAATAAAATGAAAATTATTGCATATTTCGACGATATTGCATAGTTTTGCATATTTTTATAAACCAAGTGTTTACCTATTTTACAATTTTTATTGCATATAAATCCTAGCCCTAATAATAAGTAAATATATTAACTTTGGAAAAATTATTAGTGCCTTTAAGTACAAATTAGTAACAAAATAAAATTTCTCTATAAAAATAAATAAAATAGAAATTAAATTAATACTAAATATTGAACCAATAAAATAATTGAAAAATTTTTGAAAAATAAAATCAAAAGAATAATAGTATATTAATGATTAATAAACCAGCAAACTTCAAATATCCTTATGTACAATATCTGTGCAGGTAAATTATTATTTATGAAGATAGAGACTATATAACAAGCTTTTAATTCACAAGTATCAATTGAGATTCTAAAACAATAACATAAAGTATGTGGAATGTTATAATATTCAATAAAAATATAAATAATTCTTAAAATTTAAGTTAGCACTGCGCTAAGGGTTTATGTTCATAAAAAAAATTTTAATTAAATATAGAGAATAGATTTTAGTTTATTGTAATTTTTCGTGAGTATGGGCATATGAGAAATGAAGACTGTTTTTTAAAAGTTGATTGGTATGTTTTGAAATGGGTCAATGTTAAACACAGAAAATCAATTCACATTAAGGATTAAAACAAATTAATTTTTTGAAACTGTATACAGTTGGTCAAATACAGATATCTTGGATTACCATAGTTATAAGTTATAACTCATGTTTTATATTTGTATATAAATAAATAACAACAAAGCTTATTCTATGTATAATGTATATATATATATATATATATATATATTAAAAAAATATTTTAGTTATGTCTTCATGATATTTAAAATGTATAAAAAACAAATGAAAGATAATATTATATACTTCTTCTGGAGTATATTAAGTACGGTGTATTACTTTTGGATTAAATAATGTTAAATAAATACCTACGTTCTTTACTTATATTAGTCTTTGGCTCACAAATATTATTATTTTTTAATAATTTTCATCAAATTTGTTTTTAAAGTTTTTTTGAAAAACTTGTTTTAATTAAGATAAATGAAAAATTTAGATATAAAAAAATATGTGGCGTATTATTATTTATTTTATTAGTTGCAAACTTTGTTTTTTATACTGCACATTTGTTAGTAAATATTTTTATTATTATCTCAAAAGAATGCAGTAATAGATTAATTTAATTTAATTATCTTTTTATGTAGAAATTTGGCATAGATTATAAATTAAAATTATATGTTGTTATTAATTTAAAATAATATAACGTGTACAATAATTATTATAAAGATAAAACAATTTTTAACCTTAAAAAAGCAAATTGCTTATATAAATATATAAGAGATTCTATTTATAGTAAGAAGATTATATACTATAGAAACGACTATTGTCATAGTTTTTTTTTTTTTTTTTTATAGTCTATTTATATGAGAAAAATTATATTTTGAAAATCAAATCCATAATAAACCATGGGAAAAAAATGATTTTGCACAACTATTAATTTTCCAATAAACTTATATAGTATAATAGTTTAAAAATATTAACTGTGTCCTATACTCATAAGTCATGATTGACAGTTGTAAACTGTAGCAATATATTTATATACTTCAAGATATTATCTGTTTAATAATTATTGTTAGTTATAACAATTAATAATACAAAAAAATACTACTTCTTGTTGTCACAGTTGAAAATTTAAGAAAACATTGTCGAAGAATCAATTATGAAAAATAAAATATGTTGTAAAATTATCTATCTTGTAGAGAAATCTTTTCAAATAATTAATAAGAACTAATTTTAAGTTTACGACTAACATACACCATTATATTAATAATAAAAAATATAGAATTAATAATAAATTCCTATTATTCCTATTTTTTTTTTTTTTTTTTTTTTGAGGAGATACTAACAAATAGAAATTACATTTTATGTTGTGTTGTAATTCTTGTTTTAATTATTAAAAGTAATAGAACGTGAGATTTTTCGTTATAATCAACGGGAAGTGCGATGACCGACCCATTATGATTTCCTGCACGAGACAAACTATTTATTTTTTTTTGTTTGACACTGAGACTATTATGTGAATATTAAATATTTAGAGGGCACGCGTACTTTTTAATGGGAAAATGTGGTTGTCACTATTACAACGTGACCAAAATCAGGAAGAAGATATTTTAACACATAAATGATTCTTTAAGAATCATAAACCAATGATTAATATAATAACTGATGTATTTATTTAAGTTAGTACTATTAAAAAAAGTTGAAATAGATATTTCTATCTTACAGACATTATGAATTAAAATGATGGATATTCGTACTTATTAAAATAAAAATAATTTTATGTGTCTAATATTAAAATATAATGTTTATTGTACTTTATTAAAATTTCCATCGAAAATAATTATATCTATACAAATAGCAAAAAGTGTCAAGATTTAAGACTATTTTTTTTTTAATGGTAATAAAATTACAAAAATTGTCGAAGAAAAAACGGTTTTAAAAATTATGACTATTTTAAGGTTCTGTAAAAAAAGTCTTATTAATTTCATATTAAATTTAATAACAGTGTAAAACTGTCAATTATTTTAATCGAAGAATAAAATTGTTATTAATAAATCAAAAAAACTATTGTAATGTAAAAATTCCAAATATCCATAAAAAGCACAAAAAAATATTTTGAAGATCAAAATATTAAACTATAATAATATTTTATTCATTTATGCAGACGAGGACTAAATATTAAATAAAAGAAGTACAAAAAAACTTGTAACAAGTGAAAAATATTAGAAGTTAAATTTACAAGATACGTTTAAGTTAAATGGTAAAAAAAGAATCAACGTTGGTGCTCAATATTTGTAGTGACATAAGGAATATGAAATATAGCAAAGGACTGGGATTTGCGTATTGAGGCACTTTAAAACATAATAACGATACAATAAAAAGAAAATTTAATCGATAGTACTCAATGTTTATCAAAAGTTTATACTATCACAAGTCTAAACTTGTAGCATTTTTATTTTGATCCAAATCGTGATAACTGATAATTGACAAAAAAAGAACTCATCAATACGAAACCAATACATTTCTCCTGCACTCAAAATCTAACATAACATTATAAAATACTTTGACTAGTTTGATTCAATTTAAAATTTAAATTTATGTCCTTGGCAAACGTGAAACGTTTGATTTATAAATAATACATATTATGAACTAGGTATATAGTTTATTAGGTAATTTAGTATTATATATATACCTATTTTCAATATGTACAAAGATGTTTCTAGATTGATTAGCTTATATAATATTAATAGATAATAACATATGAAACACAAACAATAGAATGAATAACAAAATAATTGTAGTTAGGTACGTTATGTGTTCAAGAAAAAATGTAATATTAATTAGTATGTTGCTATTGGATTTCCTGCGGATGTGTCTCGTCAAAGTATTACAATAAAACTACATATATATAAACAAAATATTTTTTATCATTCATTAAATATAGGGAAATACCAAATGACTCAATAACTTAGTGTTTTTAACGTTTTGAAAAACCTCAGATTTCAATCAACCTGTACGTGATTCGAATAGTACAATATAAAATGTTAGGGTTCATCAACATAGTGACGAATCAGTGTACATTTTAATGTTCATTAAAATATCATTATTGCTTCGTGTATGGTTCATATTAAAGCTATTTCTAAATTATAATATGTTAACGATCCAAAAAAAAAAAACTATTGTTAAACGTTTAAATATCCACTAAAACTCAAAAATCATAAATGATTCTCATTGATTTTTTTTTTTTTTAATACAATATTTAGTATTTACCTATTTAATACTGTAAATTTTTTATTATGAACTTATTATATCACCATAATTTATTTTCGTGTGCGTAGCCTAAAAATAAATTCTAACACGATCGACTTTTAAATCGTTTGCGATCGACTGTTTAGTTGCACCTGTTATAGCCTATATGCCTATATAGGTAATAGCCTACACTTAATAACATTTATAAATTATATGTAATTTTTTCATAATTTTTCAAAACAATTTTTAATTTTTCAACAAAAATTGGAAACTTTAACTACTGACAACTAATGAAAGTTAAAAGCTCATGTCTCATAAACACAATTTTATAAATTTATTACTAACTAGCCGACCCTTCACGGCTTCGCCCGTGATTGGTTGTTAATTTTCCTTCGGACGATGATATATTAATATATAGAATTTTCTATTCAAATTTTATCGTTTAATTATGTGGTATTAAGTGTTTGATATAACCTTTAAAAAAAAAAAAAGGAAAAATGTTAAATAATGTCGTCAGAAAATTGGAACATTTAAATACAATACACCTCCTTCCTACCCCCTCCGAACAAAAATAATTAAAAATCGGGTAATGTGGTGACATTTAGGAAGGTATTTAGAACAAATATGTAAAAAAAATTGGAAAAAAAATACATATATTTGTTACAAAATGAGAACTTAAAAAAGGCCTGTTCTTGCAAACTTGGTAGAGAAGCCTTAAAAATTAGCTTGGTTTTTTTAAATTTTTCAAGAACTTTTTTATAAACTTTGAGTTAATTAAATCTTATCATAAAACAGAGTGAATAAATGTATGATATAAATAGATAGATAATATATTTAAATTAATTTAGATATTTTTAAAATTTCATTCCATATAATAATTATAATAACTCTTATAAAGTTATAACATTAGTGTTTTAATGGTAATCATGGTTATAAAACAATAGTTTTAATAATAATATTGAATATGCGTAAAAATTCCCATTTTACTTAATATATTTTAATTTTTTATTAACAAAAGTGGTACTAAAACCTTCAACAGACTATCAGGTATAACCGTAAAACATTTAAATCAAATCGGTTCAGTAATTTTATCGATTAATACGGTCATAGAAAATTCCTTACAATTTTATTTAATAGTATATATATATGTATTTACAATATAACATTAGAATTTTAGAAAACCATTACCTACTATAGAATAGTTAATAATTATTAGTACTATTATTTAAATGCATATATTAGATACATTATTTTATTTTGTTTTAATAAATTTGTATTTTTTTAATTTATTTAAAACATATTTACATATGCAATAAATATTTAAAAGTTTCATACTTTTAATCCGGTACTTTTTATACCAATACATTTAGAGAGACTTTTTCCTGGTCACAATCATAGATTTTACATTATACAGTGTACCTATACTATTATAATATACAATCGTTGCTAATATATCCATGGTGCACGTGCTCGGAGATTAAACGGTGCTAATATATAATTCAAAAACATGCGTGTTATTTCCTATATGCAAATGATATTATTACGCACCGAGTAAGTATAATTTCCTGTTGGATCTTTGAACACGATATGAAAGCATTACGGTTGTTGTATCTAATATAAATATTTGTTTATTATGTTATGTGTACACGGAATACATTGACACTGGAACTGAAATGCTAGGCCAACTATTAAGGGATAGTTGCTAATCATCGTTGCATTGTCTTAAACTATGTTAAATGTGAGATAGATACATATATTTTTAACATAGAAATATTTAATTTTCAATAGAATTATCACGTTTTGATAATTTACACGTTGTCGTATTGTGTTATTATTAAAATTCGTTACATTAAACTTCAGGCCCTAATCTTAAGCTTACGACAGAGTATTTATTTTTATGGTAAAATAAAAACACAACAGAGTAATTTAGAATATAAACTTATATAACTACGACCATTCACATTATATAATAAAATTTAAATAGTATTAATTATTTTATTTAATACTAAAATTTAAATAGTATTAATTATTTTATATAATACTAAAAATTTCTAGTTTTATAATTTTTTTATCTATATTCAAATTGAAAAGTCAAAATTAACTTAACTTATTTTTAATTCGTTTTTATATTTTATAGACGCTTAACGTTACACATTAAAATTATGTGCGAGTGTGATCTATGTAAGTATATTCATACACGATATGTGTGGTGCGAACTTATTGCACAAAAATAATATCGTAATTTCGTATAATTTTATTTCTAAAACTGTTTTTATAATTTGTTGAGATAAAAATATTTAACCAGAATAAATTAAACTGCTTTTTGTCTACTTATACGATTGAGCCGGTGAAACTCTTATGTCTCCGGGATCGAACATTTAAATCACGACGGAACTGTAGCATACCTCTGTCCATGGCAAATTCGATAGGTATCATCACAATTGTACTAGTTTTTCGCGGTATGCCCATCTCCTACACCTCCATCCGGCAAAAAACACTAGCTGAAGCACAGAATAATAATATTTCATTCAGTGACAGAAGTAGTTAAGTATAGGTACACGGAATAAATTAGGTAACAATTTACGAATCACGACGATAAAAAAAATTTTTCATAGGTCTTCCGCGGAATAATAATTTATTTACGTAGCAATAATAATGTCAGCCATTAAAAAGTGGAAAACTACGATATAGGCGAAGTGAAGAAATATATTTGAGCAGGGGCTGCGTGTCAAAAAACTGTGATGATACCAGCTATTTCCTGCAATTTTTCACGCCTCTATCCATCCGTACGTAAATACGTATACATGTAATGCGTAAACGTTCGATGTGTTCCTGCTGTAAATTGGATTTATTTCCGTAAATAAATTATTAAATTATTATTATTATTATTATTATTATCATTATTAATTATTATTTATTAATAGCGTCGGTATAATATCATAATATCATCATCGACCTGCGCCCGGCTGTCGCACCCGTTACGCGGCGGTCGGAAAGAATTCGCAGCGTTGCTTTGTCGAGTGGGAGGGGACGACGGACGTACCGCGTCGGCGGCCGACGTCCGGAGCGGGACGGGGCCGAGAGGACGCGCACTGTCCCGGCCGCCGGCACAACGATGCTCGCCGCGTTCCGTGTAATACTCGCGTGTTGCGCCGCCGGGTGTTGCGTGTGGCGGCGGGCCGCGTGCCTGTCGTCCGAGTCGACGCCGCTTTACTTGCGGAGCGCGTACCCGCTGTGGGACCCCAAGTCCACGCCGTCCCATTCGGCGGCCGAGCCGCTGCTGCTGACGCCGTACCTGCGCAACGGCAACATACTCAGGGCCAAGCAGCTGGCCAGGGTGACCGAAGTGTACCGGCCGCAGCGCGTGGCCAGCTACTCCGGTTACTTCACGGTCGACGACCAACACAACTCCAATCTGTTCTTCTGGTTCTTCCCCGCAGCGGTAACCGTACCTACTGTTATAACACGCTAAATATTATTTCAATACGAAACAAACGACGGCGATATTATTATTACCGCGCAACGCTGACGTCGGCGACAAGTGTTTGTTACATAATACGTATACCTGTGCTGCATGCTATAATACTGTAAACTTCGAAAGAGATAATATTAATATGATGGAAAAAATGGAAAATAAAAAACGTACCAAGTTATTAGCTCGTTAGTCTAGACTCGCTAGGACAAAGGTCTTGTAGTATTTGCACATTAAATTTGTTTTAAGCGGTCACGAAAATAGCAGAGCAAAAAAAAATAAATATCTGTTTTATCTTGGAATAAAGCTAGTTTTGTCGTTTTATTTTGCATATTATACAAATGCATAGTTTGAGTTTTTTAGCGAATATTTCTTACATTTTATATTTTTCAATATATTATTCGATACATAATTCGTAAATAACTCGATTAAAATATTCTCCATGGACGTTTTTATTTCGTGTAATATACAACCGAAATTGTTGTATTCAAATATTTATCATGTAATATAGTACCTAAAGTTGTTCGCGAACGCATGCAGTTTACCTAGAGGCGCTATAGAGAATGACGTCTAGATTAATTTTTCATTTAATTTATTGATGGATAATTGTTCACCGCACAAAATATAATCAATAGTGTTTATACACGGCCGGCTATATACTATACTCCGATATATTAAAAATTTCACATTTAATACTTATCAGATGTGTTTCTAAACGGTCTGTACGCGTTTTGTTTCCGGTTAATTTTATTTATATGTACAAAAAGTCTGAAATTAAAATTCTATTTATTTTTGACGAAAATTTGTTTTTTTAATACTAGTTTTTAACTGGATATTTAAAATGTATAAATGTTAGATTTTAAAGTATATATTCAATGATTTTTTAGAGCTTCAGCTTTACAAGTTCTCTGTCCTACACATATTACCTTTACCATAATCTAAACTATACAAATTAAATTTTTTACGATTCGTTCAAAAAAAAAATTTAGGGAATTCGATCCAGACTATGATCTCTATAAAAATAGACATATGTATGCCAATCGTACTGACTATTCTATTAATTAGATAAATCTTTTGAAAGAAAATTTAATTCGTTATAAACTACATTTTTAAAATTTAATTCTTAAATCCTTAAGTTTTTTCAATTTTGCGTGTTAAGAATTTTATTATTAATTGTTGATAATATCCAACTTAATAAATTAATGAAAAAATATTAAAAAAAAAAGTCGTTTTTAAGTAAATTTCATGATAAATAGAAGATTTAGAAAATTGTATCGAATAATTTGGTCTCTTAATATAATTGGTAAAATAATCTTAAAATCCTTAAAAACGGTTAGAATTGAATCCTCTAAAAGTTTAAATGATAAATTTGACTAAATGAATAATTGAAACATAAAAGTTAAAACATATATCTAATAAGCAGAAATAAAAAATAATAGTAGTAGGTTAATAAATTTAAAAACGTTTTTAATTTGTCTACAGTGTAATTTATAATACACCCATGTCCCATTACATTAAAAAATTTAAACCATTAATAGATTCTATCTTTTATAGACTAGGTAATGGTTTTTTTCTTGATAAGTAATGTGCATTATTTTTTTATTTATCGAAATTTAAAATATTAACAACTATCTGTGAAAGCCGAAAAATAAATATTATTTAAATTATTGTGATAAACAATCATAATCATATTTTATTGTTTTAACATATAGTAATAAAAAAATAAAAGTTAAATATATAATAGATGTTTTAATTTTATTAATATAGCATAAAAGTATGGAAGTATTAAGTTCACTTTATTTTTAAATTATAATATAGTAGGGATAAATGCAAAGAAACAACAACTACCTAAGCGAGAATTATTATATTTTCGGAGCTAAAAACATAAAGATTTCACTTTTGCTTAAATTATTTTAGTATGGCTATAATTATGTAGCACGGTGAATCTTCTCTTTAGAAGTCTCACGTAAAAATAAAGCCTTATAAAATTATAATACGAACATTGGAATATATTATGAAGCTTATTATCCAAGCATGAATTGTATAACGTTACAGTCATATCTGTAATAAGAACTGAAGTGAAAAATAAGTGTCACGATTGAAAAAGTTTTCCTATTCTATAAGAAGTTTAATTTATACTTTTTATGTTATTATTATAGTGTCTTTACCATGAAATAGAAGCACCGTTAATTTTGTGGCTGGAAGGTGGCCCTGGTGCCAGTACGGCGTTTAGCGTATTTAAAGAAATTGGCCCGTTCAATTCCTCCTTTGACGGAAAAACCTATACAATTGATGAAAATCCATTATCTTGGCACAATAACAATTCATTACTATTCATCGACAGTCCTGTTGGAACAGGTTAAACGAATATTATAATAACCCATAACCAAATATTATGTTTATTAATTTTTAATATGTTTAACTATTTATGATTAATTTAATGCAGTATGTATTTAACAAAAATGTGCATTTTAAGTCGTAAAAATAAAATCAAAAATTAATGTATGGTAACGAAATGATTTAAAGATACTACATATAAGAGAGAATGAATATTTTATATATTATTATTTTCCTTTTCAATTGTGTTTGCTTAATTTTTAAACTTTTTAATTTAATTTTTGCAAGTGTTTAATGAGCAAATATCAATAATTTTACGCAAGTAGTTATATTTTAACAATTTGTCAATATTTATACTTTTTTTTATTTTAGGGTTCAGTTTCACTGAACACATTGACGGATATGCAACAAACTTCACAACCGTTGGCGAACAACTTTTCGAAGCTTTAACACAATTCTACACTATGTTTCCTGAACAGAGACCAAACCCGTTCTATATTGTTGCTGAATCATACGGTGGTATGTACAACACTCAATTGATAAGAAATCTATAATTCACATATTAAATATACAATCGATTATTTAATTATATTTAAAATTAATTTGGAACTTAGGCAAATTTGCACTTTCTTTGGCGTCATTAATTCACAATGACAAAACATTAGCTAATATAAGAATAGATGGAATCGCAATTGGCAACGGATTTTTAGATCCTGAAACATTGTTGTGTTATGGAGATTTTCTATACCAAATTGGTTTAGTTGATAACAATACAAAACAAGAAATTAATAAATTGGAATCCCAAGGCAGAAAAGCAATACACGATAAACATTTTGTCGATGCATTTTATGTGAGTATGCCTATCATATATTAATTCACTTTCTGACCACAATAAAAAATTTCTCTACATGTTTTTTAATTTATAAAATATTCATAAATATTAATTTGTTTAATTTTTTTCACTTATTTTTTTATAATTTTTGTATTAGTTGTATAACCACTAAACCTATTAATATATTGACATAATATATATACATATTATATATATAATTATTATGTCCAAAATGTTGGTAAATGTTTATATTCAATATATGATAGGTATTACATTTCTTATTGCTTATTTTACTTTAAAATTACCATTTTATAACTACAAAACAATAAAAAATTGAATAAGTATTTATTATAATTTTAATTTTCTTGTATGCTTTTAAAAAAATTGGAAATTTAAAACAATGCTTAAAATGTGTATGTACACATATAAGTAGATATATAGGTATATGTATATCACTTATAAAATTATAATATATAATATATCTCTCATATATATATGATCCACAAATAGCTCTTATAAAAGTAGTGCTAATAAAATGTAATCCTTTGGTGGCGATTCCTCATCAGCATCCTTTATCCCCCTTCCCCTATAATTTAATTCCTCTCTACAAATGATGGTACAAATGATATAGTTTATGGATGATGTAAATAGTTATATTATAATTTTAAAAAAAAAATTATATTTTCAGGCTTGGAGTGGTATAATGAGTACGTTTATTGAGCAAACTCAGTTTCCAAGCTTATACAATATCATTGACGGCGACACAATTCCGTGGAATTCCACTAACACCATTGGAGACGTCAGTTACATTGACTTATTGCAGACGGTTGATAGCCGAAGAGCTTTACACATTGGCGATATTGAGTATACTAGTTTGGGCGTGATCTATTACAAAATGATACCGGATTTCATGACCTCGGTTAAGGAACACCTGGAACAGCTAGTGACCAGTTATCCCATTCTAGTTTACAATGGTCAAATGGACCTTGTCGTGGCGTATCCGCTATCCGTCAACTTGTATTCGAACATGAAGAGCCCTTACGGCGCTGATTACAAGAAAGCGATCAGAAAACCGTGGTATGTAAATAAAAAGTTGGCTGGTTACATAAAAACGGTCGGAAACCTTACAGAAGTAATGGTAAGAAACGCGGGCCATTTAGTATCCTGTGACAGGCCAGAAATTTTATACGATCTCATACATAAATTTATTACAAAACGACTTAATCAATAAATTGTCACTTACACCTTAAAATAGTTTGAAATACCTACTACCTAATTATGTTCATCGTGGTTACCTATTTGTTTTTAGCAAATCACATCGACTGTACACTATAATTATTATATAATATAATGTACAAGTATACCTTATTACTACCTTATTTGACTGTTTTACCTATAATATTTTTTTTTTTACTTTTATAAACTTTTTCATTACTATAACTAAAATAGTCACAAAAATGTATAAAATTAAAAAAAAAAATAAACATCAAATAGCTACATAATTTTAAGCGGACTTTACTTTTATTATGTATGTTGTCGTCATTCGTCCATTCAATAAATAGAAGTATTAAATATGATGAAGTTTTTTATGAAAAGTGCGTCCTATGGAAGATTATTTTATTAAGTCTTAAGTTTTTTTTTTTGTTAACCATAAGTCATAATCAAATAATATTTTTATTTTATTTAAATACGATTATTTTTTGTTGTATTATGCTTAATTTATTTCAATATTGCAATATTATAATATTTTAATATGTCCATGTGTAGATTTATGCTTCTTGTTAACATCATAATGTTATATAATCACTAAAATATAATAATTTAATAGATACACATTACATATTTTTCGAATTTGATATACCATAATATATTCATCAGGAATCCAAGCTCCAATTCTTAATTCTAAATTCTAATTACGCACGATGATCATATAGATTAGTACAGTTGTAAGAAGCATACGAAGCCATCATGCTGACAACTGTTAATGTGTCGTAATATTGTTTACTGAATATCTACTCAAAAAGGTGGGCGAAAATCTATAATTAAAAAATTATTTAATTTTTTTAATTTTAGAATTAGTTTATTATAATTTTCTAATTAAATTGAGAACTTGATTAGTTTAACTGATTGTTGAAATAACTAATTTTAATTTGTTTTAATTCATTTTATGTATATGAGGTTTTATATAAAAAAAAGCTAACTAATGGATACTATATAATAATAAATTAATAAATATAACTAGAGCTAAAATTTTGATGACCTAAAAAAGCTAAAAATGACAAAAAAATTAAGTTAGATGAACGAAAAAAATATAATTTTAAAGCAATTATTATTTATTCATTTTTATATTTTACAAAATAGGTAAACATTTATATTAAGAAATAAATTAAACAAATTAATTCAAATTTGAGTTGACAATTAAATTACTTTTTCAGTATCAATGAACGGAGCAGGTAATTAAGATTTTTCTTGCAAAAATGCAAGAAAAATGCTAAATAAAAATTACACATTCTAAATTATTATATGACGGAACAAATTTAGTTTTTGATTAAAACAGTATAACACTCACAAAAAAAAAAAAAAAAATACAAAAGTCATCAAAATCCTAGCTTTAGTAATAACTAATAATACTAAAATTTCTATTACGTTGTTTGATATTATATAGATTAATATAAGTATAAAATACTCATCATGTGATCCAATGGCATAGGTATTTAGAATTTCTTTGAGGTGGGAGATATAACTAAAATTGTCGAAGCCAAACGTCTCAACATGTTAATGCCAACTGATTACCTAAGTGATAAATTTAAAAATCATAAATAAAACCATTTAGATATATGCAAAAATGGGGTCTAAGGGAGGAGGAGATATATCTCCTTAATCCTCACCCGTAAATAGGCCACATATGTAACCCACGTACTATTCGCACTAATATAAAAAATTAAATCAATTTTTTTAAACTAAGTCAATTTTTTTACCATTTTGACTTTGAATTTCGAGAACTAAATGTAGGTACTATTTGTTAATTACTTACTTTTAACTTAACGAATATGTTCACTTTACGTAATTTGAGTAAATTATTTTCATTAACTTGCCTACGTTTACGACGTAGTTTAAGTAGGTAGGTACTCGCTCGTAAAATAATTCCACAATTACCGAAACTACACTATTTCATTATTTTTACGGTAAGTTAACTGCTATCTACCGGTGAACGTATCACCTACGTAAATGAGGATAAGAAAAATATTTGGTATTTGTCCGCCGCTTTATCTACAACTGCTGTGCTTCAAATGATAAATGAAAACACATTTTTGAAGTCGTCGTGTTATCATATTGTTACCGCCGTCGTCTCGTGCTTTCGTTTGTTTTTCTTATCGTCTTTTACAATATTACTCAACATTTGTGCGTAACGTAAAAAATGTCCTTCACGAGTGACAAATGAATTCCGATGAAATACTGCAAATTTAATGAATTCCCGTCCAGGATATTTAATTGTTAATACGGACAATCGACTCAAAATCCATCAATAGGTACGTACACGTCGTCACCTGTCATAACGTCATTGGTATTTGTATAAAAGTGAGGCGGAAATAATGAGTCGTAATAACAATAATTTTATCAATCCTATTCTAATAACTGTCGTCACCAAACCGAGGTAGGTAGGTAGTTAAGAAAATTTTATTTGAATGTTTTGTTCATGTCTCAATCGTAGGCACTAGTCAGGGTCTAAACGATATCCTGGTTAATTTTTGTGGTTTAGTGTACAGTGAAACCTATTGGTAGTTAGTTTAATCCTAAGGTAAGCTATGGATATAGGTAAATTGCTAATTATTATTCTAAATAATATCTAACCTTTCATTAGTTATAAATATTTACTAATGATAGATTAACTTTTTATGATCCTTATAGATAATCTCAATGTTATTTACTTTTATTTTATGTCAGATCTGCACATAATAAAATAATTAACAAAAACTCAGTTTTCTTATCACTGACAGAATTATGTTTCTAAAAATATAAACATTATTTTGTTATAATTTTATTGTTACTTTGTAAACCCAGTTTTAGGGTTAGATGTTTTTATAATCTAGTAAACTTATGCTGAAGTCAACTGATATATGTTTATAAACTGCACAGTAGTGGCATAACTACGGAGTTGTTTGGGAGTGCTCAATCACCCCATCCCACTCAAATTCTGTGTCTTTGTAATTTAAAATATCTTTATTTTTTTGATTTCATTATCAGTCATTTTTTTCTTGGATATAGATTATAATTTATATTATATTATTATAATTATTATAATAAATAGTAACATAATATTGTCATATTGAGATTACTGGAAGTTAATCTATAATTTCGAAGGATAATAAATTATCGATAGGAATATAGGATGTTATAGATAGTCCACAGCTATAGTAATAAGTAATAACTAATGACCTAGTGATTTAAATGATACAAATTCAAAATTATGATATTGTTTGCTTTGTGCGATTTATAATTATAGCATCTCCAAGATTTGAACTTTAGATGCATCACTGACCATGTAAGACGGTTGGTTTTGTTACTTTTTGTACCAAGGTCATAAATATATTGTTTATGGAGAAAATAAGTAAATAGATAACTACCTTTTTGTCTTCTCTCAAACAATTACATCTTCAAAGTTATTTCATCAATTTTTAAGTATTTTTATTTTATTCAATATCAGCTATATAGTTTTTATAATTAATACATTTTGTTATACATTAGGTACTTATCTAATAAGTATATAATTATGAGTTATGACATTTATTTATTTATTTATTTATTTTTTTTTTGTAGCAGTTTCAGTAAATTGGATATGATATTTCAAAAAATATAATAATAATAATAATAAAAAACTTACTAGAATTTAAATGGTTTATTACGATAAGTTGTATTTAATTATAAATTTAATATTGTACTCCACATAACCACTAGTGTAATATAATACTGTAAGACTAACAAAGGGTTAATGATGATGGTCTTGAATTTTTTTTTATTTTACACAATGTAAATTAAATTTTATTAAAATCTATAGTTACTTTAAAGCTATAATTTATATTATGTAAATCTGTTTAAATTTATATACATTATCTATCACATCATTTTGGTTTAGGTTAGCTTGAATTATTTATCTACCTACTTAATTGTAATAGGTAGTTTAAACATTGCTATTGTTAATTCTGACAGAAGTTGTTTATTGCATGTATGATTTTATATTTTTTGTTTTAAATTAAAACAAAGTTTTGAGATATTTAATTTTTGTATACATTATATGCTCTACCTCAATTCTAATTTAATTAATGTAAGTTACTATGCAAATATAAAAAATATTAGGTAACATTGATTATAAAGTTTTTAATTTATAGATTATAGATTAAAAAGTAATTTAGGTAACTTTATTAATAACTATGACTATCAGTGACTGTTAAAATCAAGGTTAAAATATAGTAGAGTGATTTGTCATGCTCTATAACTGTCACTAGATTACAATCAAAGATTTAGTGAATTGTAAATCAAGTTAAGACATTTGTTAGGTATACTAGACTTGATTTAGATTTAAATTTTAATAGTCTTAATTTTTCAGGGAATTATATAGTTTTTATAATTTTGATATTGTTAATTTAAAGAAAACTGAGCTGAAAACTTTAAAAGATTTTGAAATTGTCTAAATTATATTTATTTAATATTATACAAACTTGTATTTTTAACAATTGTAGACTTTTTATAAGAAATTATAAAATTAAAAAAGTTATTTTAAAATCTAAAATAATTTAATTTTTGAAATTGTATGTAGTATTTTTAAGTATTTATGTTGGTGTTGACTTAATAATATAAAACAGCTATTAAAAAATCTCTTATTAAATCAATATGCAATATACATATTACGTACATTTATTTTATTTAAATATGTAAAATGATTATTATAATTTATCCATGAAGTATGTTATTTCTAAATACTTATTGATTAAAATATGTTCAGAATTACCTTAATTTTAAATCAATATAAAAATTAATAATATTGTGATCATTGTACAAATAATAAATAATTATTAACAATACAATGCATTTTACTATGTTAACCTAATGTACTTTTTCTGTTTCAGCTTTTCCAATGAATTCCAATATTAATAATGTGTCAAAAATATTTTAAGTTTATCCAATGCTTTTTATAAATTTCAAGCATTTTAAACACTGGATTTATAAAATTGAGTTCTTGCTCAATAAATTTAAATATCCAAAACAAATATTAATGAATAAATTAATTGACATAAAAAAATATGAACAACAAGCTGTCTCTTTGGCTGTTAAATTAATTAATGACGGTAGCGTTGTTGCACTTCCAACTGATACTGTTTATGGTCTAGCAGCTGATGCACAAAATTCAAGTGCTATAGGCAAACTATACAATATCAAAGGACGTAATCTTCAAAAACCAATAGCTATATGTACTCACCATGTAAATGATATTGGCAATTGGGGTGAAATTGGTCACTTGCCTTTTGGTCTTTTAGATTCACTATTACCTGGGCCTGTAACAGTTGTATTACAAAGAACACCATTTTTAAATTTTGCATTAAATCCTGAGGAATCAAATATTGCAATACGAGTACCAAACAGTGGTTTTGTTTGTAATATTGTAAGTAATCTGAAGAAACCAATTGCTTTAACGAGCGCTAATGAGAGTAACAAACCTAGTACATTAAAACCAATAGAATTTTTAGGTTTGTGGCCTAAATTAGATGCCATATTTGATGGTGGTACTATTGGTTCCTCATTAGAATCACGCCAAGGTTCTACTATAATTGACTTAACAATCAATAATCATTTTAGAGTAATAAGAACAGGATCTGCACTTTTAAATACATTACAGAAATTGCATAAATTTGGTTTAAAGGAATTATAATGAATAAATTTTTAAGAAAAATTATAAGTAATAAAGAACTTAAAGATGAATGTAATAAGGCATCTATTATACATTATTTTGAAGAAAGATTAAATGAATTTCATTCAGAGTTCTCAGATAAAGAAGTAAAAGTTACTAGTTCCAACTATGTTGCCGATAGATTATTGGCTAACCTAGAAGCATTGTTCTTACATGGCCTTAAAGAAACGTTTATCAGTCAGTTATCAACAGTAATTGGTAACGATGTGGACAAAACTATGGATATCAATTTTTGGCACTGTCTTCTTGTACTATCTCCAAGTGGTGTGGTAGATCAAGTAAGTTTGTATAACTAACTACTGAGTATATAATATCTTAACTGTTATTCAATTGTTTTCAGATTAACTCATTAAAACATGTTACAACAGATGTAGGAAAATGCAGAGCTTGGATTCGCTGTACCCTCAACGATTGCGTTTTTCGTAGTTATTTAATGTCTGTTGTTAAATATCGTCGATATATTGTTAAGTTTTATAACAAGACAGCAATTATACGGGACCATGAAAGTTTTGAAAAGATAATTGCTTTACTAGAAAGCATTGATCAGTATCATTTTGAACTCACTTTAAACTCAAGTCTTCTTAATACATGGCCCAATAGCACATTGATGTTGGCTGGTTACTGGACCCCAGCTCTTAAAAATAACCCATTACACAACAATAATCCTCAGATAGCTGAAGCGGTGGATGTTAATGATACTGATGAAGCAATACTAATAAATGATCATAATAGATCAGAAGAAAGCTATACGTCATCTTTATCTTCGTCATTTGTTGATTCAGAGTTTTTGCGTAAACCTCCCATTATGATGGATGAAGAAATTGGGTGGCAATTGATAATGAAGCAACCTTCTACTTCTTATGTATCTCCTAGTCTTACCAAAGATATACAGTCTGTTGATGTATTGAAAGAAGACATTTCTAATAGTGACATTTCAGTAACAAAACCTCATGAGATAGAAACGAAAGAAGTTGAAAATTCATCAGAAGTACCAAATACTGAACACAAAGCTGAAAGCTTACCAAATGAAGAAGCTAAATATAATGTCCAAAGTTTCAATGAATTATTAGAATCTTATAATTTGAGAGTGAAAAGTTTGTCTGATAGCCCTAAAATGGAAGATTTATATAAACAATTGACTGTCCCACAAATTATCGAAGAGAAGCATTTCACCGAACCTGAAATTTTAAATGATGTAAATATAAAAAAATTGTAAATAACTACTCTCTAAATATTATTGAAATTATTATTAAACATTAAACTAATAATTAAAATTGTATTTACAGGATGATGAATCTTTTGTTGAGGTATCAATGCATCCCGAACGTTTGAGTTTAGATGTAATTATTATTACTTATCATTTTTATATTTTTAACTATACGTTTTTTATAATTTGGTTTTATTTGTTAGCTTTTAAAACAATATTTAGAATATTTATTTACTCCTCCAAAGGAACTTGGTTTAAATTCTCAGGATTTTATGTGTAAAAGTTGCAACGAAGCAATTGGCATTGATTTTGGAGAATATTAGTAAGTAAAATTGAGAACTTAATGTTTCAGTTTATCAATTACATAATAAGCATTTTTATAATGTTTGCTTTAATTATTAAACTTTTAGTAAATGCAATTTCACGGCATGTTATTATTGTGTACACTGTTTTGGATCAGAAACTTGGGCAATACCTGTAAAAACATTGCTTAATTGGGATTTCAACCGGTATCCAGTGTCTAACAGTAGTGCAACATTTTTAAGTGAAATACAATATCATCCATTGTTTAATATGAGGAGTATTCATCATAAACTGTACAAAGCCAACAAGGAAATGAACAAGTCAAAAGTAAGGATAAAATTTACATAACTATTAAAATTATAATTTATCTTGATATCCATTTTTTATTTTTATATGTTTTATTGTAGAAATTACGGTGGCAAATTTACTATCTGTATCATTATTTATCTACATGCAAGTTTTACAATATTGATGAACTATCCAAAGACATATGGCCTCGTGTGTATTTCTTTAATAACATTCACCTGTATTCATTTGCCGTAAGTTTTTTAAAATCAATTAAATGAAGAGTTTTTCATTTTAATTTATTTGATGCTTTTCAGGACCTTCTAGAGATCTATTCTGGTACTTTATTAGAATTTCTTGAGCGCAAAATTGAAACTAGCCGAAACCACGTTTACAACTGTTTAGTGTGCAGTCAAAAAGGTTTTATATGTGAACTTTGCCGCGACCCCAAAATCATCTATCCATTTGACATGGGAGATAATTATCGGGTAAGAATAATTTTAAAATGATGCTATACCCATATTTGTTTTTACCATTTATCATAGAAAATTTATGTTTGGCAGGCCCAATTTTATGTAGCAACATTAAATAATAGAATGAATTGATCTATTGTTAAATTTAGTTAAATTTTTAAGCAAGTCAAAATTCTCATGTTAAAAAAAATATTATTGTTAATTAGTAAATTCATTCTGTTATTAAAAGTTACTGCATTAAATTATAACTACTGAACACAATTTGGCTATATTATATGTTTGTAAGACTGGGATAACATATTTCTGCTTGAGACATCCTCTTAAATGTTTTATTATTTTACAATATATTATATTGTAGGTACACTATATACCTACAACATAAATATATTTACAGATTTTGTAATTATTTTGTTGTCTAGCATATAAAGACATTTCCATTAAAAGAATGTGTTATATTAAATCAATATACATTTTCACATTCTTGTATAGTAAAAAAATTAGTAGAATAGGTTGAATACTCTAACAACCCCCCCCCCCCCCCCTTCACTCATATGTATGTTATGGATTTTATCATTAACCTACTTTTTAAATAATAAAATAATATTAATGGTTAATAAAACATTTTTATATTGATACCCATTAAAAATTAATGACATTTTTTTCTAGTGTCGCCATTGCAAATCATTATTCCATCGTAATTGTTTTAAAAAAGTAAATGAATGTCCCAAGTGTAAACGAGACAAAATTAGAAAGATGAAAAAATCTTTGAACAATGAAGATGAAGATAAATATGAAGAAAAAGATGATTGAAAATTGTTAAATTTAATATAGTTTAGTAAGAACTAAAATTGTAGTAAGAACAATTATTGTTCTTTTTTATATTATAATAATCTAATTGTTTTCATAATTGAAAATAAATTATTTTTTTAATCTATGTTATATTATTATGTATATTATATTAATTATACTTAAAATTAAAAATATATTTAATTTATTTTTATTTTTAATTTGTATTTAATAACTAACATTTTATTCATTGTTGGATATATGACAGTGTTTTATGTATTGTTTCACTTATATATTTTTAATACTTATCAGAAGTCATTTTATTTGATTGTAACTTAGTTTTATTAATTGATTATATTTGAAGTATTTTTACTACATTGTTTATGGCATGTTAAATTAATTTCAATATATTTAAAAAAGACAAATAAGAACTTAATATATTACTGTCATATATTGAAGAAAATGGCTTATAAAAATGTATTCAGAATTTGTACATTTCTATGCTGTTACCATTTGTTCTTATTTAACAAGATAATTAATTTTATTTAAAATATTCATTTTATACATAAAAGTAACAATAAATTGAGTTTTGTGATACAATGTTATTTAGTCTTCTACGAATGCTTCATTCATGGCATCGTCTGATAATGTTGGATCAAAGAAGCTTATATCATTAAAGTCTTCTACATACTGAAAATTATAACATAAATTAGATAATAATTATAAAAATAACAAGAATTAGATTACTATATTTAAAATGGAAACTATGAAATCCATTCAACTTGAATAGATTTGGATTTCTGATTCCACAATACAGTAGAAACTCGAATTCTGTTATCTATCATCTTCAAAAAATAAAATGGAGATCAAAGGTAAGGTTATATCGGTGCTTAAAATACTATTTAGTGTTGCCACAACTATCAAAGCGTATAAAAATATTTTTAAATATCTAATATATATATATATTAAATGTGACGTGAACAAACTTTTAATTTAATTTAATTATTAATTCACAAGTAGCTTGTGTATATATATTGTATAATTTGTTTATTATAATTTATATAAAAATATGTTGTAAAATGTATATAAACATCTATTACAAAGTTTCTTTTGACCATCTATTCGATTATCTGTTAAGACTCAAGACTCTGGTCCTATGACTGATGATTAATTGAGTTTCTACAGTATTACTTTACATTACACTCAAGTTATTAGTAATAACTTATTATTAATAATTTTATTTTATATGAGAATTATGGTGTTAAGCATTTTTATAAAATTAAAAAAAAAATTATTAACTAAATAATTTACCCATCAAAGGGGGTAATTAGAAACCGTTGTCAATACCTAATAAACAATAGTCTAAATAATAAAAAGAATAAATTGTTGAAAAAATATCAATCAAAACAAAAACAAAAAAATGTGTATTTATTGCGATATTTTTAGTTAAATAACTATTATCAAATAACAAAAAAAAAACATTTCTAATTTAAACCAAACTTTTTTGTTTAATTTCATTGGCTTTTATGACATTTTAAGAGCTCAATATAATAATATTGCTTTATTTATTTTTAGATATTTAGTATTTCATAATTAATTATATTGAATGATTTCAAAAATATTTACAAATTAGAATTATGTAATAAATACCTATTACTTTACAACTCTTATAAAAATTTTCAAGTGTATAATTAGGTTATGCTTACTCGAATGTCATCAATTGAATTATTGTTTTGGTATATGGGACTTGGTAATGATTCTGTAAACTCAGTTGAAGAAGTATTGTTCAAGTCTGTGATACTTTGAACGTCATAATCATGAATATTCTACAAAATATGTGTGGTAATGTTAGTTTTATTTTCATAAAAATTATTTATTTTTTTTTTAATTGGAGAAGCTTTAATGTTTCAAATAACAGTACATTTTCACTTAAAAATTTAAAAAATTTAAATATTTTATGTAATATAATAATCATTAAAGTTTGTTTAACATACCTATAACATTTTCTAATTTAGAGTATACTTACAGGGCTATCGATACCAGAAATGCTTTTGTCATTATTTAAGGAGGAGAGCTACAGTAATAAAAATAAGATAATGTAGATTACTAAATTTATTAATATTTATGTAAATATATTTACTTCCGGACTCTTCAAATTGTATTCATATAACGATTCATCCTGATTTATAGAAGAGATCTAAGATAGTTATAAAAAAATAAAAATACATATTTACTTATTTAATTTATTAATATTTGTATTTATATAAGTATACTTCAGTTGTCTCCAAATTTTTTTCAAGCATCAGTTCATCCTCATTTAAGGAATACTAAAATAATAGAAAATAAATAAAATTAATGTATTTCATTTATTAAAATGTATTTATAATATTAAATACTTTTGTATTTTCCAAACTGTATTCATTCTCTGATGCATTGTAATTTATAGTAGAAAGCTAAAATTATAAAAAATATTAAATTTTTATTCTTATTTAATAATGTAATATTTAATTATTAATTAATGTATACTTCTGTGTCATTCAAATCGTATTCATTCTCCAATCCATGCTATAATAATAAAAATAAGCTTAATAAATGTATATGTATATATAATATTACATACTTTTAAACTCTCCGAATTGTATTCAGCCTCCAATTCATTATGATAGTTTGAAAAGTGCTACAATAGTTGTAAAAAAAATTAAATTTGTCTATGTGTTTATTAATGTAATATTTAAATATTTATAAATATATACTTCTGTGTCATTCAAATTGTCTTCATTTTCCAATTCATCATGATTATTTGCAGAGAGCTACAATAATAGTTAAAAATTGAATTTAAATAATTATTTATCAATACAATTTATATATATATACATATATATATATGTGTGTGTGTGTGTGTGTGTGTGTGTGTGTGTGTGTGTGTATGTATACTTTTGTAATCTCCAAATAGTTTTCATGCTTCAAACCATGCTACAATAATCAAAAATAAATAATATTAATGCACTCAATTTATTGACATTAATAAATAATATTAAATACTTCCGTGTTTTCCATTTTGTATTCTAGTTTGTCAGTATTTATAGAGAACTATAAAAATCAAAAATCAATAAAATTAATGTATTCAATTCAGTGATGTTTATAAATAAGTATGTATACTTCTTTATCATAAAAATAGTTTAAATTTTTCAATTTATTTTGAAATAAGGCTAAGTACTATAAAAACAAAAAAATTGTAATTAAAGTACTGTATTAAAAATGCACTGTGTTGAATCAGGCGCGGATCCAGAGAGTGGGCCGGGCTCACCCAAATTTTCCAAAAAAAAATAATTTTAATTTTGAATATTGGCATTGGAGTTGTTATTTTAAAATTTTTCCACGTAATTGTATTTCAATATTTTTTTATTATTTTTTTTTCTATTATTAGTACCGGACTATTTATTGAAATATTTATAACTAAAATCTAAATGAAAATTATTCTTAATTAAATCATAATTTTACTGTATTATCTTTTGTGGTTAAATTTACGGGCCGCCCAAAAAAATATCCCTGGACCCGCGCCTGTATTGAATAGTAATATTTACATAAGTACTATTTTAGTGTTATTCAAAATATACTCATTCTTCAGTTTTCCCATACTTTTAAAACACACTGAAGCATTTAAGAAATTAAAGTTTATGTACATTTAAAACTTAAACAGTTATTCATACATTTTTTCTTTTTTTTTTAATAAATTATAGTTATACAATATTTTTATCTTACTTGTTTATTTGCAATTGTTTCAGCAAAAGGAAAATCTTCAGGATTTATCATTAGTAAGTCTTTAGTATTTTTATATTTTCTATCCGTAAAAAATGTTTTAATTGTTTTTTTATTTGTTTCTGTCTAAAAATAAATAAAAATAAAAATATACTTATTTAAACATAAATTGTTAACTAAAACATAACATTTAAATAAATAAACATTATATAATAGGTATATTGAAAATTTAAACACACTTCATTGTTATTATCTTTTATGCATAGATTAACTGGTTGACATATTTCCAGATTTTCTGAATTGTTTATATAGTCAGATTCAGAGTGGTCGATATTTTTATGACAAGATTTCCATGATAAAATTGATGAATGTGAATCAGAATTTATTTTACAAGTGTCCACAACATCTTGAAATTTCCTATAATTCTTACATTCCTGCATTTCATTTTGAGTTGAATCGTAACCACTAAAAACTGTATCTATAGTTCTCTATTAACAAATCAAAGAATAAAATCTACTGTATTTTTATCATAAGTTTAAAATTTATATCCATACTTAAATATTGAATAATGTGTAATAACACTTAACAATTAGTAAATAAATACATAAATAAAAATAATAATGACCATTTAAGATTTTAATTTATCATTAATAAAGTAACTACCAATGTATAAAATAGGTAGGTAGTACCTACTTATATGAACTCATAATCCGAATTCTGGTTTAATAGTCTAGAACAGTGGTCGGCAATAGGCGGCCCGCGAAGGAAAAATAATTGGACCACAAAAAAATATTATTTTTTTTAATAATGCTGGTTTTCCACACATAATATTATATATTTTATCTATTTTATGATGTATTTAGAGATTACGATGGTGTTTATCGTTTATTGCTATTTACAATAATAGTTGCGATAACACAACAATTATTATTAACTAATATCTGAGATTTTAGTTTTTACTGGCCTTCGAATTTTTTTTTTTTTTTGATTTTCTAGACCTCCATAGAATTTAATTGTCGACCCCTGGTCTAGAACTTACTATATATTATAGCAAATAGGTAACAATATACTAATAAAATAAAAAATAAAAAATTACCTTAAAATCTAACTTAGTATCAAAGTTTATTAATTCACTGAGAAGTTTATCAACGATATCATCTTCTGTGTCAATGAGTTTCGATAACTCAGAATCCTGAAAAAAATATTGATATTATTAATAATAGGCCGTATAACAAAAACGTAAAAGAAAAAATATTATTAGTTAGAAATAAATTTATCGTATTATTTTTCGTTTAATATTTCTTTTTTCTTTTTTGTAAAAAAAGTCTACTATAAATAATATCAATAAATATATAAATAATGATTGATCTTTATTCATTACATTTGTGCACAATACTCCCGATGATTCATTCCTTTTATCCGATCGACGCAATAATTTCTAAAAAAAACAAAAAAAAACAATTCAATACAAATGTACAAAGTAGATAATTAGATATTTATTTTATTAGTTCTTAGGTTAGAAAGTTCTAATACAAAAAAATGTATTTTTTTTTATTCGAAAACCTCTTACATATAAAATTATTAGGTAATAAATACTTCATTAATAAATTTAAATAGGTACCTAACTAATTAGGTATAAAATAATAACACTAAGGTATATTTACATATTTTTCTTCTAGTTCTAAATTCAAGCTTTCTGTTGAAGATTCATTAAACACGTTTTCACTACTTGTATAAATTTTACTTTCTTCTGTAGAATTTTTTTCAACTTTCGATGTTTGTGTATATCTACGTTTTATGGTAAAGTAAATTATTTTCAACGCTGAAATAGTGAAATATATAATTGAATCAGTATAAATTAATGTGGATACTTTTTCTTATTAAGTGCTTTTATTTAATTTTTCAACCAGTTGATAAAAGTTGGTAGTAGGTTTAATCTTATATTGCATATAATATACATAATATTAATACACAATATTTGTTATGGTCTATGTATGTATCGTATATTATAGAATTAAGCAAAACAACACGAATTATATAATTATAACATACCTATGCAGCTAGTGAATAAAATCTAAAAAAAATCACTCGGTTGTATAGTCTGTATAGTAGGAGTAAGTGTCGAGTGTACTTATATATGCAATGTGGTGATTGAGTAAATCATTGTGATGGTCGATGGATGTGTTAAAATGAATTGAATGATACCATTTTATACAATAATTGCCCTGTATGTATATGTCTAAGGATATTTTATTTAACATATATCTTACAATAAGTAATTTATTTTCTATTAGGAAAATGGTAGGTTAAATAATATCATTGCATTAATTTATCAGAACTTTTCAAAATAAAATTTTAATTACCTAATATCTAAACTGGCAGATAAATATTATGATAATTTAAAAATATAGGTAATATCATGTTTTATTATGTTGATTTATAACGATCATTCACCTCTGAAAATCATGTAAGCAGATTCTTTACTTAAAGAATTAAAATCTTTAAGGTATTAATCTATTTAATTAAAAATAGAATAGAATATACACCAATATAACTTGGCAAAAATCTAATAAGTATATTTAAATATTTTTTAGGTACAGACATTTTGCTCAATAATGGTGTAATGTTTGCTGTAAAAAGTAGTACCTATCTACTTTCGATAATAAATAAATATAATATCTTTACTATGTTTAAAATTTTTGCACAAAAATTAAATTACGTAAAAATTTATATTTTTATTATTTCATATGCGTATTCTTAACATAAGTTACTGATAATACTATAATAAGAATAAATAGGCAGCTTAAAATGTAATATTATTCGTATAACGATTGGGTAATAATTGAACTAACTTTCAATAAAATACAAATTTATAATAAATATTGTATATAAAAGTACCTAACTATTATGTCTGTAATAATATTAAATATTCTTACCGAATAAAGACAAAAGCCCCACAATTATTTGTGACAAATAACTGTACCAAGTCACCGTAACAACTTCAACTTTCGAATTTTCTTCCATCCCAAATTTAACGAAGAGACAAAATGAAAAATGAACGTTGGAAAATGCAAATATGGTCTTGACGACAGTAACGATGACGAAAGAATGGCGAGCCACGGAGGAACATAGGTGAATAGTAACAAACTTGTACGTTTCGCAAGGAGTTTCGAACCGCCGATGACTGCAAAGGACGATGTAAATATGACCGTTATGACGATCATGGCTAATAAATATGCATAGTAGGTACCCGCCTTTTCTTCTATGATATTTTATTTCGCTCAAGAGTTAAAATTAGTGTATAATATCTATAACTTTATAATATTATAATACACTATACAGCTTCGTTAGTTTAAAAATTAGGCTACGGCTACATTGGAATCGTTTCCGATCCGATCCTAATCGATCCGATCCGACCAACATCCTACTCGTCCGATATTTGTGGCTACATCATATCCGATTTTGTACCGACTACAATCAAATATTATGTTGTCATCAGGTCATCTGCTGTGACTTTTATTTTATTTGCACGTACCTTCTCTTACAGTTAACACGTGTTTTGGTGCTGTTTCATTTTATAATTTTTAGTCAATACTCAATATGTTTTCAAGTTCCAGCAGTTCAGGCTCAGAAGACGAATGGGATGATTTATTGGATAGTAGTTATAATTTGTACTTAAACAGTCCAAGGTCTTGCTGGGTGCACGATTTATTGAAAGATTATAAAAATGGAGAATATTTTCAAACATGTATTAAACTTCGAGAATACCCGGAAAAATTTAAAGAATATTTTCGAATGAGCATACATACGTATGACTACATATTGGATAATATTTCAAATGATATAAAAAAATATAGTAATTTTCGTGAGTGTATTCAACCAGATGAAAAACTTGCAATAACAATAAGGTAAGTACAAATTTCAAAATTTCTAATTTCAACTCTTAAATTTATTATTTAAAAAAAAAAATAAATAAAAATAACTTATCTGTTCATTTTTAAAAAATAAATTGTTACTCCTTTTAAAATAACTCAAAACCAAAAAAAAAATAATAACATCTGTTCTTTTTTAAAAATAAATTGTTACTCCTAAAATAATTCAAAACCAAAATCCGAAAAAAAAATAACTTAAAAACTAAAACTTAGTTATTTTGAAATGATCGACTTTGCATTGTGTCCATATCAGTATAAGTGATGCTGCTTGTTCTTGAGTCTGATGCCATCCACTCTAAAGAAGCTGGCGAAGGCGATTGATAATACGATGACGAAGAAGTAGAGCAATAATTATTTGAATTGATTTGAGATAGTGAACTTGTATTAATATATTTTTTTAATGTACCGTAAATTTCCATTTTAGCATCTATTTTGTCAACTTCATTCATTTTTTTAAACATGGGCAAAATACTCATCAAAAAATGATAGTCACCATCAGTTTCGTTATTTTTATTTAAATTTTTCTGAATACGTGTTTCTAAACGAGCCTCAAAAAGTTTAATCTTTTTTTTTTCTACCTCCAAAGCTTTTTCTTGAAATGTTTTACGTTTATTTGAAATAGGAGTGATTGGTTTTGGGATATCTAAATTTTCGAGTGTTTCTGGTGGTGATTCAATTTGGTCATCGGGATTTTCACTATCATCATCGTTTTCTATCAACGTTATATCTTTTTGAATATTTGATGAGGTCTTTCTTGGCATCATTACATCTTTTAAAAACAACATTCGTTCATAATACGGCCACTTACTCTTATAAGCCTCGTCCGTACCTTGACCCGATGATTTTATCGACTTATTGAATTATCTTCTAAAAATGTCTCTTGTGTTTTCCCATTTTTCTTTTGCCTCGTTGTCTACGCAAAATACAATTTTTTTACGAAATTAATAATTAGTTATTAATATTATTAATAATTTTATTATTTAATAATAACACCTAAGGCAGGCAAGTGGGTGTCACTCTGATGTACAGTAGGTTACAAGTGGGTTACTGTAATGGATTGTGCTAAATTTTAATTCAATGATATATTATTATTGTATAAGAAATACAATTCTCAGTGAAGATAATATGTCAGCCTATAATATTACTAAATAGGTATATTTCATGATATCTACTAAAGTAGGTTAAATTCATTTTTGACAAAAAAAATTACATTTAAAAATGTCATTGTGTGTATAAAACTATAAAATATAACAATATACTCTAACAGTTTCATATTATAGATAACCAGAAATAAATAAATAAATATAACAAATAAATAAATAAATATAGTAAAATAAATAAATTTAAAAAACACGTCATTGTAAAATAATTACATCCATAGCTCTGACCAGAACCTAAAATCGAACTTAATATAAAAGTATATAAATAGAAATTGTGACTTACGATTTTTGATTTTTTTTTTAACCGAACTAAGTACAACTTTATAAAGAAAATCTAAAATTTAAATTTTCTATAAATAGCTCAAAAAAGTGTAAGTATTTTGAAAATTTAAGCATGTCCATGACATTTGGAAAACTACTGGGACTTTTTACTTCTGTCTTCTGACCCTCAAAATACTAACTAGATACGATTATTTAGTATAAATGTACTATAATATTATATGTAATAATATGTATTATTATTATTATATTAATATTTTATTATATAAGTTTATTTAAAAAATAAAATAACAAATATAATTAATAATTATTTCAGATATTTGTCAACTGGTATGTCATTTCGAGCTTTAGAATTTTCATTTAGGCGACATCATTACACCATTGGTAAAATCGTTGAAGATGTTTGTGTTGCAATATGGAATAAACTTTTTACTAAACATATGCCGATTCCCAATAAAGAAGACTATTTAAAAATATCATCAACATTTGAAGTACTATGGAATTTTCCGCATGTTGTTGGTTGCTTGGATGGAAAACATCTACGGGTAAAGTGTCCAGAAAAGTCTGGCAGTATGTTTTTCAACTACAAAGGTTATTATTCAATTGTATTACAAGGAGTTGCAGATGCGAATTACAAATTCATATTTGTAGATGTAGGAGCCTACGGTAAACAGAGTGATAGCGGTACGTTTTTAGCCTCAGATTTATATGACATACTCGATAACTACAAAAATTCATTACCTCTTCCTACAAAAATCAAAGATACCGAAATTGTTATGCCATATGTAATGCTTGCTGATGATGCCTACCCTTTAAAAGAGTATATATTGAAGCCATATTCAAAGTGAAAACTGACACATGAAGAAATGATATTTAATTATAGACTTTCACGTTCTAGACGTTGTGTCGAATGTGCGTTTGGAATAATGTGTACCAAGTGGAGACTGTTATACAAACCTATCGAAACTAAAATTGAAAAAGCAGAAAACATTGCCAAAGCCATAACTTTACTGCATAACATAATAATAGATTTAGATGGAAGCCCTAACGCAATTGCAATAGAAGAAGCAATGGAAAGTTTCGAATTTGAAAAAAAAAATCAAGAAATTACAAATATTTCACGAAAAAGTCTTAATAGGTATTCAAATGATGCAAAACAACTTAGAGATACATTAAAATCATATTTTAACAGTCCAATTGGAAAAATTTCATTTCAAGAAATTTATTGTTATGGAACAAAAAGTAATTAAATAATAAGTTTAGTCATGGTCCATGATATATTTTACACTGTAAAATGTATACATAAGAAGATATCACATTGTTGGAGAAAATGATAACAATCTCTCTTGGATAAATAAATTAGTAAATAATGTTTTAACAGTATTACTAGTATATTATGTTATAATATTATATTATTATATACTACTATAATACTACTATAATATTATGTACTATGTACTTTTTATTAATTTGTGTTACTTTTATATATGATGAAAAAATTAATTAAGTTTCAAATGTTTCAATATAATAAATATGTAAATATTATATAAAATAATATTTGACTTACCTCCCAATATTTTATTAACGTCTTTCCATTCTTTCTGTTTCAAGTTTCTGTTTTGATATTGTGATGTCTTTTTGTCCCATAATGCTGGTTTTGAGTGAACAATTTCAATTAGGCGCTCTTTATCGTATTCCATTATTAAATTTATTAAATTTATTAAGTTATTTCACTTTTAAATTTTAATATTATATTATATTTTGGCTAAAAACTTAAACAATTTTAATTTCAATTATTTTAATTTAACAAATTTATCGAACACACTGCAGACACAATTGACAAAATGTCAGGCACGACAAGACGACCAGTACAACACGTGTGGGTACATGTCGTGACCTGTGCACACTCGCACGCAATAAATATGGTAGAAATCAATTTTAAAAATAATTTTGATTACTATTTTAATCAAAAAAAACTTTATTTTGTCCGACTCGTCGGATGAAAAACAAATCAATTTGTTTTAAAACCGACGTATCCGACTGGTTGGTACGTCGGAAACGGTCGGAACGGATAAATCTAGCCACTACCGAAATTATACATAGTTTGTTTTTCTTCCGACTAGTCGGATTATCGGATCGGATCGGAAACGATTCCAATGTAGCCGTAGCCTTAGAGTAAATTGACCTATAATAATGAAACATAATGGCAAGATGATTTTCCGTATCTGTATGTGGATGTTTTGTACGATAATTAAATTTTTTAGCGAATTTTGCGTATGTAAAATATAGTAAATTAAAAATGTTCATAACTAATTTAAAAAATTGAATTATCGTAAAAACCCACATATAAACACAGAAAATGTTCTTACCATCAAGTTTAATTATAGGTTACTCTAATTTTTAAGCTGACGAAGCTAAACCTTATCTGCTGAACATAAATTGTTTGTTATACGCACTTGTAAAATAGAGACAACAAATTTCTGTGCGGTATCCTCTTAAGAGTTTAAGACAAAATTATAAATAAAAAGGAGGTTGATTTGAGGGTTTCGCTCTGATATACGGTATATGTCACTGTCTCTGTCACTGAAATATTAAAAATAATATTATAAATTATGTTTTTTGATACTGTTATTAGGTAAAGTAATTTATTTTACTCTTTACTCTTAGTAATACTGTAGGTTAAAATATTTTTTACCAAAAATATTGCATTTAAAAATATCATTGTGTGTATAAAATATAATAATATGCGTAAAAGTTTTATGTCTCTATGAGTTATGATTTTAAACTATAATAAAATAGTAAGTATTGTGGTTCATAATCTAAATAATATGCAATTTAGTTCAAATTTAAACTATTAAATTACACTGTATAGTTTTTAGATTTTTCGATTTCAGTATAAACTAGTTTGTATTACATTTTCAAGCCTGAACAATGAAAATCGTACGTTTTATAAATGTTTTACTACACAATTTTGAAAGTTTTAAAAATTTGAACTTAAAATACATTTAAAAATAACCATATACATATAGGTATTTTTAATTATTTTATACAGATATAATGATAACTTATGTGGGTTTTTTGTGAAATTTTCAATTTTCGATTTAATGTTTAAAAATCATATCCATCACGTGTCCATCTCCACAGTCTCTGCAGGCCGTCATTTCCAGAATTTATATTAACTTAGTTGAAAATGTTGGAATATTTAGGGTTAAGTATATTATACCACAGTAACCAAATCAAATATAATTGTATATTTTCAATTGGATATTTCGTATTGTCCAAATTGTTTGGTATTGAGATCCTGAATAAATATCTAAATGGAGACAAAAAATGGAGACTGCCTAGTTAAAGTTTTATTAATTTTTAATGCCTATTTGGTAGGTAATTTTTTTCTATATACAAATAATTTATTTTGTATAAGATTACCCCAACAGAAAAGTTACTACATAATGTCATAACTCATAACAATTAAAAAAATAGTATACCTAATTAATGATTAGGAAAAAAATGATGATAATATGGGCACATTAGGCACTTAAAACTTAAAAGTATTGTAAAATATCTAATACCGAAAAAAATTAAATTAAAATTTCAATTTTTGATACTATATTTCTGCGAATCGAGTTATTGGATGTAAAAAAAATTAGCTACTTCCATTTTCTATAAATAACATTTTTAATAGAAATTGATATATTCTAATGATTGGATTAGATTTTTGTTGTGTTATTATTAACTTAGTATTTTAATGATATCATTTTGGCTAATCGTCTGTATGTAGTAATTTTATTATGCCTTTATTAGTCTACTATGATATATTGCCACATTGGTATTAACTATTGAATTTTATCTATTAATACTGCCTACGTGTAAGCTCTGATAGATTTAAATATTTGATGAACGATTTTTTGAACCTTTTGAGGTATAAAAATCTAGAGTTGATCATTAATGATTATCATATGGGGTCAATTTTTAGATAAAATGATGATGATTTTATAAATTTAAAATGTAATTATTTTTAATTTTAATAGAGTTCATTGTTTTGTGTATTGCATTTTAAGACTAGAGATTTGAATACAAGAGTCATACAAATAAGAATAAATTATTTAGTTGCATTTATATAATACATTGTACTAATGTAGGTAGGTATATACCGACTTAAATAGAATTATGAATACACATACACGGTTCATATATTGGGTGATTCAATGTGTAAGGTAATTATTATTACAAAAAATAACTTAAATGAGAGCTTTCAATACAACTTTGTTTCCAAAATAGGCAGCATTATTTGGTTATTTTTTTGGTTATCTAGTAATAATTTTTTTTAAACTTGTTTCAATAATAAAATATAAGCCATGTGGCATTTTAGATAGGTAAGTCATCACTGCTAATGAATCATTTTTACTATGGGACTAGTTCAAGAGTCTATGCATAATAAAAAAATTAATTTAAAATGCCATATACTCATAGAAAGTAGATGGAAACTATTAAATTATTGAAAAAACAAAACAAAAGATTTTATATTCCATAGTAATAATATTGGGATTGGCAGAAATTTAGAATAAATTGCAAGAAAAATCTATTCAATCAATGTAATAAATTTTGATTTAAAATACTTGATTGATTTTCAAAGCGTATATGTTACAGTTAAAGTGTTAAATCAGTTAGTTTATGAAATAATAAGGTAATTTATAAAATAATTAAAGCTTGTAGGTAATGTATATAATTTATACTTTAACTAGTTATTTTATACATTCTCTGGCATCACTTCATTAATGTATTAAATTGAAAATAACAAAAAATCATGATAAATAAATATAGTTCTAACATTTTCAAAAATTTAATATAACATATTAAATCAGATAAGATTGACATCCTTTTTGTCGGTGACCGCAATGTATGTTTGGAAAAACAGGCAAAAAGAATGAAAGATTTATCAAATACTAAATTTGCGGTTGCTAATATTAGTTCTACAATGCGTATAAAAATGTCTGATGTTGATAGAGGAAAGGGTGATGCTCGTTCAATTATTGCAGTTGTTTTAAAATTAACTGACGATGGGTTTTATCAACTGGGATCCAATGATGGTAAGATAAATTTAGATAATACAAGTTATTTTTTATTTATTTATAATAAATTATAATTACAGGAGTGATAAACAACTATATACTCTCAATCCCAGTTCACAGTATGTTCAGAAAATTTGTTAGCTGTAAAAGCTGTTCCAAATGAAATTATTACATTAAGATCTACGGCAACTGCACAGTCACTGGGAACTAGTCAGGGTTTTTTTAAGTGCACTTGTACCAAAAAATGTGACACAAATTGATGTGTTTGTAGAAAAAAAAGAGGTATTGTGCAATTCTAAATGCCATAATAGCCTTACATGTATAAATAAATAAATAAATAATATAACTATAATTAATTCAGTAAAATAAAATATTTTAATATATATTTTAAATTTTAATGTATTTTATACTTTAAAGGATATCAAACTGAAATTGTATAGAATAACTAGATATTCTATGAAATAACTAGTTAAAGTACAATTTTCATGTATTATTTCATACTTTAACTAACATTTGCAGGTAACTACCTAGTTATTTCATAAATTAACGGAATTCAAAGAATATTATTTGAAATGATTCATATTTGTTTTAAAAAAGTAAAGAATGGACTATTATGTATAAAACTAACTTTAAAGAAGATGATTTTAAAACGTTTTCATTTAGCAGAATAACCAAAAGAGTAATTTGGTCAACAATTATTCCACCAGTTAGAAGTGAAGTTAAACCAATAAATATATTTAAGTATAGAGATTTACAAATCATGTAGAAATGGATAACCATTAACTACAATGTTCCATAGTTACTGTAAATACTTAAAATTTGTGGATAATACTATAGATTATCCAGAAGACTAGACAACAGATCAACATAATTGTAGTTATAATAGACAGTTGTTATATTATGTATAGAGTTAAAATTATTTTTTTTATTTTCAAAAACAAATGTTCTTAGTAATTTTTTTTTGTTTTTAGTTTAGTTAACTCGTTTAAAAAATATTAACTTTTATATCAAAATATAATGTACATGATGTAATTACTACTAACTCTACTCATATAAGGAACATTCATGGTTTTATTATAAAATAATATTTAATCAATAATAATTATTATTATTGATGATTATTATTTTCTAAAATAAAAATAAAAAAATATTTTTTGTTTTTTGCTTCTCTGAAAAATACCAATTTTTATGACTAAGGACTAAGATAACTTTACTTGTGATGTACAGATATTTAATTAACTATATTATATACAACTACATATACATACATAAAATTTATATTTATAATTTATTATACAAATTTATAATATGAAAGTATTCTGTACATATGTATTTTATGTATCTATACCATTAATAATAATTTAAATTATAAAACTGTATGGTTTTATTATCAAAATACTTATAATCCAATATTTAATAATTAAACATTTCTCATAAAATTAAATTAGTATGATTTAAGTAGGACATAGGTGACAATTTGATTTGAGATTACCTATAATCAAACAGAATAACATTTCAAAAAAGAATGCATTCACTCTAAATAATATTTTGTAATTTTTTATATAAATATGTTAGGCTGACTAGCAATCAGCTGATTATAAGGATTTTTAGGCTTTTTTTTCTGTTTAATGGTGCTTAATATTTTTTTCATAAAAGTCGACTCGGCAAACTCCTTGAAAAATAAAATAAAACAATATAATTAAAACTATTGTATGATTATATTTTTAGAATAAAGTTAATGGTATTAAATAAAAATAAATATTTACCTCGATATAGATAGCTAGGTAAAGATTTAAAATAGGAAAAGAAAGTAGAGTAATTAGGAAAAGCCGCTGTTCTTTTTCATGGGGTGAATTTTTCAGATTGACCATATCGAATATGTCTGTAAACGTAGAATTTCTTGTGATTTGCAACATCAGCGTAAATAAAGTCAATATCACAATGACAGTTGTGAAAAATACTATAAAAATATATTATACAAGTAAATAAATGAAATAAAAGAATAAAATGTTTAGTACAAATTTACAATTTTGGTAAAACGGTTTCCGATGAGGATACCCCTTGTTCAATACAAATGCTAAAATAATGTACTGGTATGAACTGGTTAAAAACAATGTAGTATTTTCCCAACATGAAATTACGTCTTCGTCTGACCATGCAGGACTTGTAGGCACATACCTATAAAAAAATAGAATTCTTTTTTATTAAATATAGCAATAATGGTTGTATCTTGAGAAAAAACATTGGACATTTTACTTTGGTAGTTCAGAACAAGGAAACCTTTTTTTTTTAATTGATTTTGGCCCTTAATGCATATTATATTACCTATGTCATAGAATAGGAAGATAATATTAACTACTAAAAATAAGTTATATAATAAGCTTCATATAATTTTTAATAATATGAAACATAAAAACCTTAATTTCAATATTATTTTTAAACATTTACAAAAATTATTTTTCAAAATCATACTTAATGAAAATTGTTTTTAAACCGTTTAACTATTTCCATATCATCTATAATGTTTACTTTGGATGTTAATGAAACAAAATATATTAATACTGAATCCTATTAAGTATTAGTGACTAAGTCATTAAAACTTTTAATTGTCAATTTAATTTCCTCGTGTACAAAATAAATAAATAGTAAATTTATCAGTATTTTGTATAAATATATATATATATATATATATATTATATATATATATATATATATATACACCATATACAATACCCAAGTCCAAAATATATTATTTCAATAATTACCTACATTAATAAATAATCTGTGAAAAATTGACATTGACATAATTTATCATGGAAAAATGTTTAAGGTTAATAAAAATTATTACCATGTTATAAGTGATTAATATTATATTTTAAGTTTTAAATATACATTTTCATTAATATTTTCAGTTAAATTATGTAATAAAATGATTTTATAAATTAAAATACAATATGAAAATACTTACCAATTTTGTAATTTTAAGTAGTATAGTGATCCTATTTGAATTAAAGCACAAACCAACAATTGCAAAAATAGTGGTATTAAGTTTTTTGCAGTCAGAATTTTAGACAAAGGACGGTGAGGATGAACTTTATCAGTAGGATCGATATCACTCATTACAATAGCTAAAGATGTAGTAAGAACAAAATCAAAGTATAAAAATTGAAAATTTCCCAACATAATACCTCTCTAAAAATATTAGAAAAAAAAAAATTATTTTCATATAATCAAATGCCAGTTTTAAATTTTGTAAATAATGGTGATTGTACCTACGCTATAAAGTAAAACTAATGTAATAAATTGTATTAAACTGTAGCATGTCATATATTTAAATATTCCAAAACTAGTAACCAGAGCACATCGTCCTTCTCGTATTACATTAGTAACACATGAGATATTTGTTATTTGAGAAGTAAATGGTGCTGCTATAGAAGCTTCAGCTTGTGAAAGTGAAATGCCAACATGAGCAACTTTTAATGCCTATAAAGTATAAATATAATTTATATCAATATTTTTCATATTCATTCAATAAAAAATTAAATCATACCCCAGCATCATTTGCTCCATCACCACACATAGCTGTCACATAGCCCATACTTTGAAAATATTCCACAAGTTTCATTTTTTGTTCTGGTAACATTCGTCCAAACACAAGACCTTTAGAAACAATATAAGGTAACCAATTTGGAAAATCTGATTCCAAAACAGACCATGACCTCCCGTCAATTGCATAACATACTTTTTCGTCTTGTATCTATAATAAATACATTACATATTTTTAACAAGAAATTAATAAAAATAAATAAAGTATTTTGTATTTTAAGTAATTACATCAAAGCTATGTCCCAAGGTAGGCTCAAGTTTGATTTCTGCTTTATTTATTTCAGTACTAGGTGTTGCTGTTAGTACTGCAATATTGATATTAGATGGGATCATAGAACACTCTCTTGCTACACTTATTCCAGTATATAAATTATCCCCTAAAAAAAAAAAATCATATTTATTGAATACTAATAAATTAAATGAAAAAAATTTAAAAATATACTAATTTAAACAATCGATTGAATAAATAAATTAAAAAATAAATCATGTCCATATAAGACTACCCGTTCTTACAATGTTATGTCAAATTTTAAGTATCCAAAAAAAAAAAAAAATGATAAATAATTATAATTTCATGCAAACAAAAATACTAAAGAAATTTTAACTATTTTTGTGTAAACTAGGTACTAAGTTTTACTCAACATCATTTATCAAATGTATTAATTTAATTTGCATTGTTTTAATTATTATAACTACTGCTTAGAAATTAATAAATTAATCCAACACAGTGCAATGCAAATAAAGATCAATTTTTATATCTACTTAACTGTAGGTTTGTGCTTACCTGTAACCATGACACATTTTATATTTGCTGTTCTCAATTGTTGAATTACATTAGAAGATTGTGGTTTAAGTTTATTTTGCATAACCAGAAATCCAAGAAAATTTAAATCACACTGAATCTTTAAAAATATTTTAAAATTTATTATTATTACACAAATGTTGTATGATATAAATAGCAGAGATATAAAATGATTTACATTTTCTAATTTAATATGATTTAATGATTTCCAATTAACTTTTTTTGGCAAATCTTTGTATGCCAATGCTAATACTCGGTACCCAGATGAACCAAATTCTTCCAAAACAGAAAAAATATTTGTAGGAACTAGAAAAAAAATAATAATACATTTAAATATATAATACAATGAAAAAATTAATTATTTTTAAATTACTTGTTTCTTTTAAGCAGCTTTGGATAATCTTTTCTGGAGCACCTTTACAGTATGCTGTGTAACCCCGAGTACCAAACACTTGACCAATAACACACATGCTCTGTGTTTTTGAATTAAAGGGAAATTGATGTACAATACCGATTTCAATTGGCGACTATTAAATTACAATATTTGTTATAGTTATAAATAATAATTAGAAAAAAAATGAGTACTTTGATATTTTCTTACTTCATCTAGATATAATTTTTTAGACGGTCTTACTATGGGAGGTAATAAGTTATCATACATTGAATTATCTGCTCCTGGCTCTTCCAATTCCTAAAACATAAAAATAATCGTTATGTATAGATTATGAATTAGTTTTTTATTGAACAACATTATTCAATTATATAAGTTATTTTCTTTTACCCAATCAGTTGCATTAAACATGCTCAAATCTAATGGATCTCCAGCCAGTGATCCGTGAATGTGAGTTAATGAATGACAAGATGCCATTGTAGCAATTATTGGTGACCTGACATCTATTTGAGATAAATCTTTCACTAAATTATCATAAATATTTGTTACACATTTTAGATCATCACGAGGCAATAGTCCATAAAAGTGCAATCCGTCTTCAGTTAATGTGCCAGTCTAAAAAAAAACAACATTATAGATATTGGATATCTAGGTTATAATTTAACTTGTATCGTTTAAAAGTAGGTATTGAATTATATAAAAATAGTGTATTTAAGTAAAAAAAATTAGAAAATTAATAATTACACTTAAAAAAATGAATCTGAACCCAATACTTTGTTTACTTATCTAAAGATTTTCAAAAATGATTGTATTTATTTTATTTTTAGTAAAATGTTGAAGAAAGCTTAGATGTATCAAGTTATATTATATATACCTATTTCAACTAAAAAAGTTATTAATTATATTAAATTTGATAAAAAATATTGTATTTATATTATTAATTTAACATTAACTTTTACTTCGATATTTATTTTTTTCATTTGATTTAAAAGGATTAAGTTTTTTGAAAACTTGATATATTTTTACAAACAATAAAATATTTAAATATTTTTGTAATTACCAAATTTTTATAAAATCTTACTGAAATTCAACCTAATTATTTTTATACTTTTTCTCATATAATTTATCTAAATTTAATATAACATGTTAATTTAACAATAAAACTAAGTTATAGTTATAACCAAAATTAACAGCCCATAATTGAATAAATTTTAATTGTTTATTTATAAAATTTACCTTATCAAAACAAACCAGCTTTATTTTACCAGCAACATTTATACGGGATTGACTTGTGCAATATATTTTAAGTCGTTTCAGGCGTTTCATAGAATGCACAATACCAATTGTCATAGCAGCTGGTAATGCAGGGGGAACAACCACAGTGTAAATGTCCAGACTTCTTATGACGATGTACTCAATAGAAGCCTATTAAAAAAAAAAAATAATAATAATAATTAAAAAAATAGGTATATAATATCATAAATGTATATTTGTAAATATATTAATAAAATAAAAATAAATTGAACAGGTAATTTAATATTAATAGTATACTGATTTAGTGATTTATCTCATTAAATTACTTGGAAATTTAAATACTTACATCTCTTATCATGTATAAATAGGCACAGTAAAGCATTCCAACGGTAGCGACAATAAACATGATTAAAACAAATTTTATGGAGTCCAAATAAAATTCAAAATCCATATCTTTTGGAAACATAATTGAACGTATTAAATTCCCTTTAGCTGTAGAACTTCCAGTCCTAACCACTAGAGCTAATACCTATAAATTGAATTAATTTTATTAAATTTTCACTGTACATGTTAAGTAAACAAATAGTAAATAATTCATATTGATTTCCATACTTGAGCTCCAGAGTAAAATCTTGACTGTAAAATCTTGGTTCCACAATACAATGTGTGATGTTTATGTGAAGAACTACTATAACAAAATTCTTCAATTGACAAAGGAGGACTTTTTGTTATTGGCTCACTTTCTCCTAAATAAATAATATTTTCAGCTTAGATATTATGACCATTAGAACATAAATTTTAATAAAATCTGTACCAGTTTAAAGTAAGTATCTATTAAGATTACACTTATCCCATGCAATGTGTGTTATTCAATTTAGGTATAACAATTTATTATGAAAATTTATGGTAGGTAACTTTAAACAACTTTAATACTGCTTATAATTTTATTCTAATGCTAATACAAACCTGTTAAAAGACTTTCGTCGACAATACAATTACCAGATAACAATAAAGCATCACAAGCAATATTGCAGCCACCTGGTGGTATTACAATTACATCTCCAGGCACTAAGTATTGAGCTCTGACTTTTACACTTTCTATACACACACAAAGAAATAAAAAAAAATATTGAAATATATTAATCAATTAATTTATTAAATATAACACACAGAAAATAATATAAAATAATCATTATTTATTAGTACCTATTTAATTATTATCAATAATTTAACGATACAATGGTAATTAAGTGATTAGGTAAATAATAGTAACGTTTATTAAAAATTATATAATATATTATTATAATAAAATTGTTTGCACTTTGTTTAAGAGAAATGTTACATTATTGTAGTAATTTTTAATATTGTCTAATGCTATTTTTTATGCTATTAGTAATTAAGCAACTCGAACATGTAATAATCAATAACAATGTTTATTGAATGTACCAATAATTTTGTAATTTTATTCCATAATTTACTCAGATTTTGTTTTTAATTATTTTTATAATTCAATTTAAAAAAGGTGGGTAAGAGGGTACAACTCTATTGTATAGATAGTATGTGTTAATTATGTTAATATTTCCTCCCAACAGTGATTTTGTCAAGTGCAAAGATATCAAAACCATTCAAGTTGAATTCGGAATATTAAACAAAATATGCAAATATTTGAGTTCAAAAACCATTTTCAACCACTTTTATCAGTATAAAAAATTGAAAAATGTGAAGAAGTAAAATATATCCTACCATCGGTTAATAGTATTTGTCGATTAGCATTAACAGTGCCTGTTAGTGTTGCTATCAGTGAAAGGACGTTTAGTAAACTTAAAATTATCAAAAGTTATTTAAGGTCAACAATGATAGACAATAGGTTAGACTCATTAATGCTGATGAGTATTGAAAACGATGTTTTACACGAAACCAATGTAAGTAAAATAGCTACACAAATAGTCTTATATGAAACAAAGAATTCAATTTCAAAAATTGTATATAAGTTTTAATTTTATTTAACCTCATGTACTTACCGTTATGTGTTAACTAGGTAGGTACTGATACCAAAAAATATCTAAGTCGTTTGTGGCTATTAGGTAAATAATAAATATTTATATGTAAGTATACTTATGTTTATGAGATATAATATGTTAATAGTAATTCGAGCGGAGCGAGAACATTTTTTTAAAGTTAGCAAACTAATGAGTCAAGCCAATGATTTTTCTCTCGAGACAGCCCTTGTTACTGTATGGGTGTGTTAAATTTGAAATTAATGATATATCATTTTATATAAAAAACAATTTTAATCAGAGATGTCATACCACTATTTTATAAATAAATTATATTTCATGAAAAAATATTTTTTTTTTTTTTTTTACAGCTTTTTAAGTTATTTTTACTGATAGTATATTTTTGGTATAGACCCGATAAAGTTTGATTTAAGTTTTACCGAAAGATTAACTTAACCGAAAACATTACATTTATATTATTAATATTTAATTTTATAATAGTATATCTATCTATATTTATACTGTTTATACCATAATAAATCATTGTAATTAACTTTTGAGCCAATATAATTATACTAAAAAATAGTGTAAAAAAGCTGAAATGATTTATGAAAAGATAATACCTTACAATTAATCTATATATTTTGAAAATGTCATTACGTATAGTAAAATTCATAATATACGTAAACATTTTAAATCTTCACAAATAATGTTTTTAAATTATAACGAAATAAGTAACATCGTTGTTATTCGTTTAAATATGTAATTTCGTTATAATTTGAACTTCAAATGCTTATAAAAAAACATTTGTGCAAACGTATTTTTAATATGTTTAAATAGATATAATTTATAAGGAATCTAGTATTAAAATTTCAAGCTTTTTTATTTAAACTGAACACTTTTTTATCGACAATGATTGAAAAAACTAAATAAAATTGAACATTTTTTATGCTTATAAATAACATAAAAAGAGCCAAAATATTTTGAAAATATTACTATGTGTAGACTAAATTTATTTGTATATCTTAGAATTAACTAATATCAATTGGTAAAAGACCATAATTCTGACATTTGCTATGTTATAGATTTATTTTATAAATAACAAAATAAATATTTAATATGAATAAAAAATTATTACACAATTACTAAAATTTAATTTTAATTTTTTTTATTAATTGATCATCCTTAGTACAGTACAAATATATTATTTTATATCCTGAACTAATAAAACTCTTATAAATTATACTGTATCGTGTGCTAAAGTTATTGGAAAAAGTTAAAATTAGAATTTATATATATATACAAAATACAACCTATATACTTAATTATTAAATAAACTCACCTTCGTCTCTTCTTAGGACAGTATAAATATCATTATTATAAGTATCTACAGTTTCTTTAAGTGATTGACTTTGCTGTAAAATATTCATTTGGTATTTAGTATAAATTTTAATTTATCGTTGAAAATTTGTAGAATCCAAACTATGAACAGATATATTCGACATATTTATTATTCAAAGTGGCTAATTATTTGAGATAAATTATAAAAGACATGTAGAAGCTAAAATATTAGGATACAAGATTTGTATAATCAATTTAAAATTTAAAGCAAAATTTATAAATAATAATCAAGTTCAGAGGAACTAGATTTGAAATGATATATACTTAATAAATTTATAGTAAATAAATCATAATATATTATTGTATGCAAAAATATGATTTATTATGATTTTGATATATATGTTTAAATTAAAGAAATTTTATTGATAAAGAAATTTAACCTCGATTTTAACATTTAGAACTTGTTAATAGGGTCACACAAAATTTAAAGTGGGCAGTATTTGTTTGTAAATATTGAAGAAATACAGAAGAATAATATATTCATTATTCATATAATTCAGTGGTATAGCAAAGAAGGTTGAAAGGGACTACAGCCCTTTCCGAATTTCCAGGAAAATAATAAAATGCTTTCAGTGTTTTGTGAATGTATGCCATAATATAAGACATAACCATTAACCAAGTATTAAAACTATGATTTGTATGAAGATTGTACTAGTAATCTAAAATGTTTTATACTCACAGCACAAACAATTTGCTAGAAATCTTAAGTTAAGCATCCCCTATACAAAAAGTTATCAGTCTTTTTGTGGAAGGAAAATACAAAGTAAATCCTGGCTAAAAGCCACCGATGCATTAGTAGTTACGCGAGTATGAAAAAATGTAAGATATTATGACGGCAGCATGGACAAATATATAATATGTACTATATATTATATGTGTGTATGGTATCGGAATAAAAAATATACTGAAAAATGAAATAAAAAAAAAAAATATCCGAAAAATTAGTTAAAAAAAATATTAATTAACATGTTTACTCATGGTAAGTTTTATCTATGTAAATCGCATATGTTGAAGTAAATGTTAAATGTAAAAAAAATGTACAATATTATTTAAAAAAATATTTAGTAATTATATCCAAAGTTTAGTGACCATTTTTTAAAACTATGCCCCACGCTTTATAAAAAAAATGGTGTAGATAATAAATACATTTTAATCGAATATATCTTATTATTTTATTATAGTTTGGATAACACAAAATTCGACAATAGTCTATAAGGAAATATAAAATATCCAAACCGATTTCAGTTGATATAATGAAGTCCCAATAGAAAAAGCTGAACTAACTAATACGCATAAAGCATAGTATTCATAGTCATCAAAAAACCATAGACATATGCTAAATATTTGGAAGACGTAAAATGGATTCAACACTTCAGCAAAAAATAATTTCCAGTAAGAATATACTTCTACAATCACTTCATTCTTGCCAAAAAGCTCTAACCTAAATAAAAATTAAATTTAAAAATAATATATATATTTATGCTTTAAAATGGCTACAAAAAACATTGTATAATAACATGTGTTGAAATGTCAAATTTAAAATAATTATTGTTCCAATAAAATATACTATAACAGTTATTACCTATTACTAGTATCACTTACCTATCATGAAAAATATTAATCAAAATTGATCAAAAAATGTTTTAATGGTTTGGGAATCACTTGTAACTCATGATTCATAATTTTTTTATTCCTTTATAGAATATAAAGTATTAACCATGGTTAATATTAGTAATTTGGTTTAAGTTGATATCCAATTGTAGTTATCCAATTTTAGGTATTATCCTTAGGCCTTAATAGTTGATGTATATAATATTTGGTATTTAAGTATTTTAATGCCTGTTATAAGATTATATATTATGCATTTATAGGGTCTCCATCGATGTTTATATAGGTATTGAATATTTTTATAATAATAAATATGCATAAAAAGTATACTATAAAATACTGTATTATTTTTTTATTAAAATAAATAGTAATTAATACCGATTTTTTTGACGTTACATTAATGATGTGAAAAATTAGCGTTGTAAACACCAAAAAATATGTACTACCATTAATTAATTTATCAATTTTTCAAAATTTATTATCAAATTTCCATTCAAAATAAACACAAAACACATACATAATAATTAATAGAATAAAATAAATTATTTCATAGAAACGTTATAGTCCCAATAGAATACATGTACATATTATACGTCATGTTCTGCGAATAATTAATCTTACGACAATTAATAATAAATCACAGGATTTTAGAATTAAAATCATGTTTATTTATATGAAATGTACTTAGTTGGATGTGGGCGATCAATCGTGACTAATTTATTTATAGTTCAATATATTCATAGAAATATGTAATTAAATATTTTATGATATAACATCAAATTAAGATTTTGAAAACTGTTAAAAAATTGTTAAGTTGAATAGTTCTTAAATTAAAATATTATGAAAACTAAATAAACCTAATTTATTTAGGTAGATTCGTGTTATACGTACTGGTTTAGATATTCATCAGATGTGAGACCATGACACTTTTCTAACAAATTTGATAGTGTAGTTGTTCCATTATCAAGACCTTGTAGAAATTTGAATACATTTTCATTCTCATCCCATATATATTTAAGTAATTGATGTTTAAAATATCTTACGGTTTTTCTTTTTCCGTTTGAGTCTTTTATTGTTGAAATTTGTACATCGTATATGGCATCGCTATTATTCGCGTCCTATAAATAATAAAAATGTATCAACATAAATAGTATAATGAAGTTGAAGCAAAAAACCAATCCAATTTTGAGTTAAATATAATTTTGAAATTGATTACATTTATATAGAGTTTTAGTGATAATATTTTCAGAAAAATCACTGTTTCGATGTTAAATGAATTCTACGATATTTAAATATTATAAAATCTGAAATAATTATATATTGGAATGCTATATTGACAAAATGATATATCAATATCTTAATACAATTATTTTAACTCAAGATACTAATAATTTGTTTCGTAATAATAATCAAGTTTTAAATAACAGTTTTTATTTTTATATTAATATTATATTTTTATTGGTTTTTTATATTTATCTTAGCACTTACGTAAATTTGATTGGAACAAAATAAATTTATAACTTTTTTTGATCTTTTTTAATATATAATTTATTTATTTATAAATAAATAAATTAATAAATAGTTTAGTTATTAGTAAGCTGTTTTATTTATAATTTATATATTTTTTAATAATATATGTTTTATTTAAATACTGATACTACACGGCGTAGGTCATGATATATTAAATGTTCGAGATTAAACAACTAGATAATATATAGCCTTATATATTGTATAATATACTTATTTTAAATCACAAATAATTTATATTTAAATATTTATAAATTGTCATTTTACTTAATTTACATGAACATTTTTTAATTTAAATAAAATATGGTAAAGCAAGACATTTATAAAATGCACAAAATCATATTATATTATTCATATTGTCATATTCATTATTATTTATTTTGCACATAATAAATATAATTTATTTTGAACATTTTTAAACAAGTAAGTATTTTAATATTATTATTTTTTTTATGTGTGTAGATTTAATTTCATTAACTAAATTTTGCTTATTTAGTTGTAACACAGTACGTCTCTTATTTATTTCCATTTTAAAACCATAATCCAAAACAAAGCAATGTACAAGATTTAAGAGATTTAATAACTTATAAATTCGGAAAATAGATCATCATAATTTTATGTTATTTTTTTAAGGTATATTAATATTCACAATTATATTTGATTTTGCTAAAAAGTAATTAAGTTTATTTAAAAGTTTTTAAAAATTTGTAAAAAATAAATAATAGAAATTCAAATATATTATTTGTGAAACTTTACTCTACGCAAAGGAATTTTTTTTTGGTAGTACCTCCACTGTGGGTTGGAACGTATTATAATCAAATATATAATAATTGATATATATCCCTAGAGATTTACGTTTTATACATATTATACGTATACAGTAATAGTTTAAGATAAAACACAAAAACTATTTTATAGCATATATTAAAACTATTACTTAACTATAATGCACTTAAAATTTATGAAAAAAATGTCAACTCAGCGGTTGAATACTAATTACTAAATATTAATTATAATTAATAAGTAATAATTATCAATTATATTGAAAATTATAAACTATACTATATGTAAAAGGATAATAATTTTAAAATTTAATAAGTAATATAATATTATAAATAAATAACGAGATAAATAACTAACAGAGCAATTTGTTTCACTTTTTTTTTACAATTGAAGTAGTTTTACAGGTTATTAGTGGTAATTATTGGTAAAAAATACAACAGATTATAAAAGGTAATAAAATATTATGAAATATGGAGTGTTCAATAAATTGTTACATTTTGTTTATTAACTTATGATAATAGAAATAAAATATTGGTTTTATACGATATAAAACGTATTATACGTGCCGTATAAAACCTTTTTGTACATGATTTTGTCTAATTCTGAATGGAATTTTAAAATACACAACATGTATGCATAGATAATCGTAAATTAAAAAAAATTGTTAATTAGCATAATAGGTTTGTGGTTACTTGTTATTATTTCAATATTTTTAAACATTATACAAAAATACGCAATAAAATCAGTTTAATAATTAATTCAAAAATCCATACATAATATTTCAGTAATCTTGTCGCGGAATCAACTGATTAAAGTCAATTTCCGTGTTAAAATGCTAGATAATGAGCATATGATGTTGTTTATATTATAATGTTTAAATTATTTTTAATTTAAATGAACCTATATATGTAATTTATAATATATTTATATAGTCATATTTATACAAATAAAAAGGGAAAAGTACCATACATGTTTGAGTGATGTAATAAAACACAAAAAAATCTTTGGTACCTATACCTGCTTTAATAAAATTTTACTAAATGGTCAAATCAGTAATAAAAATATTTGATATAATAAAAATTATTATTCTTAGTATTTTCAATACTTATTATCTTCCGCCTTTCAGGGTGATAAAAATATAAATATTTTAAAAAGTAGTTGATAGCCAAAATCACAGAGTGGTAACGATACAGTAGATATGACACTAGTTAGGTGATATCTATATGATGTTATATTTTCACGTAAATATAATATAGTATTATATTTATTTATTTAAATTTATCTTAAAATAAAATATTTTCAACTATAAAAATGATAACGAATAATGACTAATTGTTGTAATCTTTAAAGTTGATGACATGAATTAAAAAACGGAGCTTCCTCACATAATCGAAACTCAACTATGTATTTAATATAATATAAATAATGAAATTAAATACAATTTTTTATAATTTATATAAAAATTAAAAAAATATAGCCATGCAAGTAATAATTTATATTAGTATAAGATACGATATGTATAACGGCAGTAATATTAAAAAATAATGATCTGTTTATTATATTATGTTCAGTATATACTATATACACCTAAATACAATACATTACTATATACAGGTTTTTTGAAAGAACACGTCTCTTTCATGGCGTCCATTAAACTTGGTGAGAAGACTCAAGTAGCTCATTTACACATTCCACGGGTGTCTTTAAAGAAACCCCGACAAGTGGGTAAAAAGAATAAAAAGGGCGTTGATCAGTGGAGGAAAACTGGATATTATTAAACTAACCGACTGGTTATTCATTGAAGAATAAAATAATCATTATATAATAATGTGTAAACAACAGATTTAACTATAGTTTTTTCTCCCTAAAGCCACATGACCGAATTTCTAATAATTTATAAATGCATAATAATATGCAGATTTAGTAGGTACATTAATTTCCATTTTGTTTAAGACTATGATGCGATTAATACATTATTTCAAAACTTAGATCAACTGACAATTATTCAGTAATGAATTTAATATACTTATACATCATATTAATTACTGCATTACTGCACTACCTCAATATTATATAAAATGAGTATTAAAGAGCATTCATTTCTTTGATATGTACTGCAGTGTATCTACTTGAATGTAGTTGTTTAAAATATGTTACTTACCAATTTTAATATTGATAAAAAAATTTATCGTTTCACGGTGATTTAATTCTTTTCAGTACACTAGTAATTTAATAGATACAACTAAATTAAATTTTAAATACAATAATGGAGGGGTAATATTATTGTCGAAAATACTAACTAAAATATTTAAAAATGTATTGTATTTATTAATTGTTCAAGAATATTTAATATAATTTTTATTCAATACCCAAAAGTTGTATTTAAAACAATTTATAATTTATTAAAAAAAAATACTTCAATAGTGATAAAAGTATTAAGATTTTTTACTCAAATATTTTATACAAAATTGAGTTGCAAGGAAGCTAAAATTTTACATCTATAAGTATGTACCTACCTATCTATTTTGTGCGTATTACTATTCCGCGAGAACCCTTTTGGTTTATGTTTGTGCGTTTTAAATATAATTACACGATTCTGCAATGTTGCCAAGTAACACAATGACATACATTTTAAGATAATTAATGTTATATTTATCTCATATTTTATTAAAATTTTGAATTTCCTACCTAAACATAATATATGCACTTATACATAATAACTTCGTTAAATTACTAATATCTGCGGTAAAAATATCAGTTTTATTTATATTAAAATATTATTTTAAATACGTAAGAATTAATGTATATTTTTTACAAAAGCGCCAAGTGACAAAAATAGTTATATATTATTTTTATATGCTTCTAATTTATAGAGATGTTACGATAGCAACTTTTAAATATATTTTACCAGAGTATTAAGAATAAATGCAAAAGAAAAAAAATACCGTTAAACCAAATCATTATGATTTTTCTCAAAATTTAAAAATACCAAGGTACGATATTCATAAATATTACAGAACTATTCCAATGAAAAACTATTTTTTCTTTTAAATGACGTATTTTTACTGCAATATGGTTTAAGTTTATAATATTTAAATATAAACTATATAATTCATTAAAATAAACAAGTATGCTAATAAAGCTATTTTTATTTACATTTTTAATAATCATTAAAATAATAATTTAAAAAAATTTAAAGTCTTATGCTAATGTTGATAATTGAAAACCTTTTTAACAAGATAATTTCTGATAATTTTCAGTTAGTTACTTTTTTTTTAAATATGTTTACAATATTAAAAAAAAAAAATAAAAAAAAAATAATAGTTACTAGGAATAGTAATTAAACTACATTTTAACTGTAAAAATAAATAAATTAAATGTTATTTTTAAGTAGTTTTAATTACTATGAGACGTATTGGCTTATAAAAAAATGTTTTTATATACGAGTATTATATAACAGAATGGAATACTTAAGACATTACAGACTATAATATGTCTATTATTGTGTAATTTTATAATAATTGACTTTAAAGTAAGTTACTATAGATAAAATTTGTTTGCTTTAAATACTTACAGTAACGAGAACAATGTCGGAAGTTGATAATGGACTAGGAGTCATAAGTAGATATAATTTTAATTTTATTGACCAATGAATGGCTAAGTAAGGTACACCAACCATGCATATTGCAATTATATTAAATATTATTTTTTTCACTAGGTTATAAGAATATCCACATTTTATGTCAATGTATTCTACATCTAAATTGTTAATGTGATGAGATGGCGATCCATCATCTATTGGTAAATAGTCTCCACGAGAACAGCAACCTAAAATATATAACAAAATATAATTATAGTTTATGAAATATATGATTTACAGATAAATAAATAATTATTTTTACTTCGAGTATATCACTCGATTAAAAAGCTTGGAAATTTAATATGAGATGTAACATAAGGTGTTCTTATGAATATGTAGAAATATTTCAAATACTTTAATACAAATTCTTTTTATAAGCATTTGAAGTTCAAATTTTAACAGAATTCGTATTTATATACTAAGAAAATTTAAAAATTGTTTCGCAATTCAAATGTATTAAGTGTTCAATTTTTATAGGCATAAGGCTTGACAATTCAACACAAAATGTCTCATAAGTAGTTCATCTGAAATTTAATAAAATATTTAATGATTTATACTAAAAACCAAAACCAAAAAATCTAAAAAATATACGAGCATGTTTTTTTAATAGGCATTTTAAGTAGGTACACATTTGGACAAAATTACATATTTTAACTATAAATAACTATTTCAATAATATTACTTCAATCAAATATAGTTTAGAGTAAATATATATGTTAATATAAATAAATGACATAAGGTGTATGTTTGTGGTCTGGATTCCGGTAATTTTCCACTAATAATGATAAAAGAGAATGTCAGCGCAACATTTGTTTTCTTTCAGACTCACGCATAACATGAATAAAACGTATTCACATAAAAATATTTTTCATTACTTTTATGTAAAATTATTTATTACAAAAATGATAGTAGATAATATTTTTAAGAGTTTCACACATTGGTTTTATATTTTATTATTATTTAACTTGGTATACGATTTTAAAAATACATTTTTTTGTTGTAAATTTAAATAAAAATTAATTATCAACATGTCATACCTTCAAAAATATTACTCTCTATAATTTTTGTAAAAAGTGATTTAAATCATGAAAAAATAATAATAATTTTGCATGTATACCTACCTACGTTTTTTCTATGTGAGCCTTGGACCAGAGAAGAAAACAGACAGTGCGTTAACATCCTCATAGTTATAATATTTAATACAAATTGATATGTTTGCAGGTCAATAGAATTTCACATAGTAAAAATCCTTCATAAAGTCATAAATATAGTATATTAAACAAATGCTTTTTGAAAATCTCCCTTTTTTTGTACATCGTATACTTTCTACAGTTCCACCTTTATGGTCAGTGGCTATTGGCTTTTGATTACGGTTATCTATTAAATAATCTTGAAATTATTTCAGAAATTCGTTGAATTTATTAATTGATTCAATTATTGAAAAAAAATCTTATAATTAGAGCAACATCAGATTTTATACTTTGTAGTATCAATAATTTAATTATAACCTATAATTATGTATAATTATTTTATTTTTAAAGATAGTATATTTCAATAGAAAATATCAAATTTCAATTACAAATAAATAAAAATCATTAACGATTTAATCAACAATATTCAACCGAATACGTCATATTATAAATTATATATATTAACACACTATTTTGCAACTACTAATTAATAACTTAAAATGTTTCCTTTAAAAAAATGAGTGGGATAAAAAATGTAATATGGATGTTTTACTCACACTGAATTTAGGTACTTATACTATAAACCTAAAGGTTTTATTGCGTATTTACGTATACTATATGAACTACACTATCTCAAGTATAATGTTTCAAAGTACTCAATCTTATTTTTAGTCCTTATATTTGTGATACTTAATACTTATACAGTCATACCTGTTGCCTACTATTGATTATAAATACTAGAATTTAAGATAAATACTATTACTTGTAGACTACTATTCATTTATTTTAGACTTCAAGTATGTTATATGCACTGCAATTCACATTAAACGTCCAACCGTTAATATTAATAAAATTGATTTTTTTTATAACACAATAGATTTTTACACATTTATATAGACATCCAGATTTTCTTCAATGGTTACTCATACGAATACCGAAATATGAACCTATAGTGTGTATAATGCATAATGTATATAAGTATGCATAAATAAACAATAAACATAGGTACTTGACGAAAGTGAATGTAATACACCGTGTAAGTGTAATACGTTATTTTTTCTTCAAATACAACGAGGTAGTATAAATACATAGGTACTTTGAAGTCTATATAGCTATGATTACTATAATTATTATTATAATATTTTGATTGATAAGCAATGATTATAAATAAAAAATGTCTAACGATAAATACATAAATATGATAAAAATATATAATCAGGTCATGTCCAAAGAAAGGTTTATGGGATCTCGTGTGAGATTGGCATTTTAAAACGTTCGTAGTTCAATTTAATGAATATCCAATTACTAGTTTTTTAAATAAATTTGATTTAATTAGAAAAAATTAAATTAAAAAAATGAAAATGAAATTTAAGATGTATTTTTTGAGAAAAAACCTATAGTCTAAGCAACTAAATAATTTTGGATTCTCGAAGCTTAAATTATACGGCCTTGAAAATCTATAAGTAATTGTTTTTATTATTTCCGGTAAATATAAATTACAACTTCGTGATTAATTTATTTCTAGATATTAAAATAATTTCTGTTTTATTGCTATAAATTATTAACCGTTTATATGAAGTTTCGATAGTTACAAAATAAACTTATAGTAAAAAAATGTATAATTGCCTAATGAAATAGTGTCGAAATTTATTTTTGTCAATTCCAAAACCATTTGCCCCAGACTGTTTTATTTTCTCAATCCACCTATAAATAAACCCAAGTTTCACTAGCCCATGTCCTATATAAAATATCAATGTTTTACCAACGTATTCAACTATATATATATATACACACACAAGTGTGCTACATAGTATTATATATGTTACGGTGTTATGTTAAGATATTATGTACAGTATATAGTATATACGTACATAATAATAATTGAAATGCGAAAAGTAGTTCTCCTCCAAAACACGTTTCATTTTACAAGCTCGCAAATTCCCATTGTGTATTTGTTACGACCATGCCGGTTGTTCGAGGTGAAGTAATATAATGTTTTGAGCATATAACGATGAAATTTATAGTAACCAAACGAAGCACATTCACAGAGTTCTTTCTTTGTTTTCATTGGGTATCATACAACCACAACTCATTATTTTGACTCAAAGTATCTGTTAAGTGTCTTGTATTTTTTGGGTGCTAGACTTGATATCATATTATATACTTTAAGCATTAGCCAATTGACAAAGTATAATTAAATTACTAATAAACATACTATTATATTGTATTAATTTATTATTTCACATACTTGCTTATGATAATTGAGATATATTCAATGTAATTGAAAAATAGCCAATAGAATAGTATTTTTAATTCGATGAACTCTAATTCCTGAGATTAATACATTTATCTGAGTATATAAATTTAATTCGCTTAAAACTTAACTAGAAGTAATCTGGGAAATCTGTTGAATATTGGGTTATAAAGTGTACCTCATCGATTGTGAAGGTCACTGTAATAGATGTTGTAAATTTGAATTTAATGAAAACTCATTGACCATTGTATACTATTTGCTAATAAAAACCACGATAAAATTTTAAGATTGCAGCATTTTTACCTCTTTTAAAGGTTATGTCAGACAAAAAAAAATATCACATATCATTGTAAGACCAATACATAAATCGCTTTGTTTAGAATCTAAAATATGATGATTTAATTATTCTAATAAGCTGTGATTATATCATTAATACAACTACTAGAATAAATGATATACCGAACACGTGGTTTATGATATTCGTAATCGTTCATAATGGTTTTATGGCCAATATTTACTATGTAGAGTTATTGATTAATTAAATATAAAGTCTACGCATTAATATTTCGTAGATTCTGTCAACAAAATATACTCTATAATATATCTATATACATATTATATAAAATTGAGATAAAAACAATAAATCAAATTATTAGCCTTCTGTTTTAAACTATTAGGTAATGATGATTAATGTGTAAATAGACTTTGATCTATGGGTGAGCCATAAAAATGTTTTTGTTGTATTTGAATTATTACAGTTGAAATTATGATATTGTCGAGGATATTGTTTTATTAAGCGCTTATTAATTATTCAGAGAGAAGTCTGAAAAATAATCTGTCATTTGGTTAATATATGTAAAAAAAAGGATAAACAAAGATAAATTAATTCATATTTAAATCACTTAGTACAGTTTTACCAATAATCTATACACATTTGACATTATATACATATTGCGTTATTAAAAAATGCATTTTATTAAAAACTGCAAGACCTTGAGTTATTGAATACAAATGTCCAAATATTTTTTATATTTATCCTTAAACTAAAAATTGAACATAGTCATGGTTACAAAATATATTGTAGTTATTGTATAGCGTATAGTATAAAAATCAGATAATTCGTTTACAATATTAAAAAATACTATACCTTGAATCAATAGTGAATGAATTAGATAGATACTGGAAGATATATTATAACTTAATAATATAAATATTATGCACAAATATATTGTTTGATAACCTAACTTTCGATTTTCTACTTAAGACAATATAATTTATGGATGATCGATGATCATCAAAACAATTAACATGTTTTAGTAATTAACTTATTATTATAATCACATATTTTATCCATTAGGTATAATATGAGTTACATATTTTTTATTGTTTTGTATAATCTGTAATTATTAGGTATCTGATTACGTTTTGTTTTGTCTTAAATTTCCTAAGACTTTTATTTTAACTCAAGCTCAATAAATTATTATCATAATCCTTAATCACTGTGAAGGCACATAAGTATTAAATGTTAATGTTGTATACTGTGTAATCCCACATCATGAATTTAATTTAAGCTTTATCACACGTGTTAACCATATGATGATATTAGTATTTAGCAGCAGCTAACATGTAGTATCTCACTGTAAACTAACGTAGGTTCCTAAATAAATAGTAATGGTATACATTTTACTATTTAGTATTTTAGTACATTAAAAAATGTCAGAATAAATAATATTAAAAATCAATAATATGTTTAACTTTAACAGTTCTCTAATTTGAAAAAAATTCAAAAAAAAATGATTTGAGTAAACAGTTAAAACTTTAAGTTTAACTAACTAATATTTTATAATATTATAGCATATATTTTGTTTAATAAAAATTGATTATGTTATTTATGTTATATAAAATTTTATAAAATGTTAAGACGATAAACAAACACTATTATTATGGTTTAAACTTTTTTCATGTCAACAACATTTTTGTAAATAGGTACTTAAACATTAATGTTTAACAATAAATTCATAAAAAGACTTATTAGCATTTTATGAGTCAATAAATTGCAAATGTATGTATAATATTAAAAATTTGTTTACTTTACTATCCAAAATCACTTTCCATAAATTTATTAGGTATATTCGTACATTTATGATTTGTTTACTTTTGCGCATTATAAATTGCATTTTGATATGTTTTGTCAATAATGTCTACGGTAGCAGTCAATAGCTAATAAAAATAACCATTAACACTTATGAAATTACGAGTAATTGGTACAGTTTACAACATTGATAAGTTAATTGAGAATCTAGTCGTAATTACTCACAAGTCATGACTACGTATTATATAGTATTATTCGAGTACAATATACCCGCGCGTGCACCCGTACACTTTTACATAATACTAAGTGGACTATGTATAACCGCGGAGTATGTATAAGTATTAAGAGCTCAGAATGTAATAAATAGAACGTGTAATGACCTACAGAATAGAAAAGATCAAGTACAATAATTATTTCGTTAATCTGTCGGATGGCTGAACAGTTAAAAATATTGTACGTATTGTATATGTATTTTGTTACACAGGTACTATACCCGCACAACACAAGGAAACACGTCATCGTGGAAACTTCAGAAGCTATGATGTATTATGATTTACATAAAAATAATTTAAAAACAAATAATAATATATTGTCCGACGTAGGTAATTTATACCATACGATCATACGAAACACATAAATCATTCAAACATTGCGTAATACCCGTTAAATCGGTACCCGACTGTAACGTCGAAAAAAAACCAACATCTCAAGCCAATCGACTTCAGAGCGACAAATTCAAAAATCAATCGAAATCGACAATTATTACGTCGTAGGTGTAGACGGTTAGCAAAAAAAAAAAAAAAAAAACAAAACAAAACAAAAATCACACTACGACATCTTTCGCGTGAAATCTCTGCCACCGCCGCCGTCGGTTTACATAACAACGACGACAACGACGACATGCTCGCGTCGTCCGCACAACATACATTATTATTTATTATATTAACATAATGACACACGTCAAAAATTATATAATTTTTACAATATTATTTATCGTAACGAATCGTATTACAAAATATTATAAATTTATAACACGCTTACCAAAACACAGGACCATGGCGGTAGCTGTTGGTTGACCGGTCGGCTAACGGTCGGTCGATCGGTCGGTCGGTATTGTCGGTAAGGTTTTCGGCGGCGACGGCTTTTACGCGATCGATTATTGCTATTATCGTTGGCGATTCGGTCGTCGTCGTCGTCGTCGTCATCGGACGGACGGCCGGCCGGCCTCGTGCGCGCTCATTGTCACGACCGTGTGGAATACTGTCCGGAACGTGGCTGGCTCGAACCTCGAAGTTCGAACCGCTTATTAGACACGCGGCGTTTGCGCTCGTTATCGCGGTCGACCGACGACGGTTTAACCGATATTAATACGGCGCGGTGGCGTAACGGTCGGCAACGGAATAAACGTTAGGCCAGCTTATCTTCGGCGTACTCGGGTACATGCGCGCGGTGCGTGCGCCGCACAATGACTTGTCCGTATTTAATTTTTTTTAATACGATTACAAAAACATTACGAACCGCAGTCTTCGTTTTCCGTGTTTAGGTGTCGCCGTCCGACGACGTTCTCGTTCGTTTTCGCCCGCACACATCCCGTCGACCGCCAATCGCGCAATGTCGTCGTACGACTATAATTTTATTTTATTATTATTAATAATAATAATAATAATAATAATAAAATCCGACCTACTCGGCGCTGTAGTCTTCTCCGGCACCGCCGAGACAGCAGCTGCCGTCTACTGCTCGCCACCGCCCCCGCCACAGTACGTTACTTAGTTTTTATTGTTGTTGTTGTTGTTGTTGTCGTCGTCGGTCCACGTGTTTTTGTTTACCGTACGACCGCCGTGATCGAGATTGGAGATTGGCTGGTACTGCGCGCGATTCGAGCAAATGATTGTCACGTGGTACGCGTGGAGTTGGTTCGTGGCGTACGGATGCCGCGGGGGCCGCGTTGGTATGCGTTCACGGAACCGGTGTGCGCATCGCATCGGCGACGTTCACTCGTCGTCGCCTTGGGTGAACACCGAAAACGACTGTCGAATCGTCCGACGACGAAACACCGTATTATTACGTATTATTATTTATTATTACGACGCGTTTATACAACTCGTAGTGCGTCGTAATAATATTATTTGTGTTTTTACGACTCACGGAACTCCACCATTATTCGTTTATTCTATATCTCTTAAGAGTCTCTCACTCCCTCTAGCATTGGTCATTCAATGCGTGTGATAAGCAGAGGAGGGGACATAACAATATTATATAGACACAAAATATACAGGGACTTATGCAGTTCAAAACACTAAAATATGCACGAAAAAATTGTTCAATTGATAAATAATATAAAAAAGCATCTGAAATAGGAACGATGAAATAAGTCACGGACATAACGTCTAAACCGGTACCGCGTAAACTCTCAAATACTCAATCAATCCGTTACCCCAATAAGGCAATGCGTATAGAGTTTCTCAGATAATTAAATGGTATAAAAACTGATTGGTATTTTTGTAAATGTCAATTAAAAAAAATGTACGAAAATAGCCAAAAAAAGGGAAATATGCATCAAAAATTAAATATTACCAATTACTATAGGTAATACGTAAAAATATGCAACATAAAACTACAGATTTGGCTTTGCAAAATGCAAATGCTAGAAGTTCCCAGCTCTGGAGAAACATTATAGAAATACTTTGTATGTATTGTTTATACTCGTAGATTGATTTTTTTTTATTTCTAGAAAAATTGCTAATTCTCAGTGAGTTTGTTAGATGTGTAAAAGTAAAGTATACCATAATGAATTAGTCGTCTGTAGTGGGATTTTATAATTATAATTAAATAAGTAAGCGTAAGTGCGTAAAAGCGTCGTATCAAATATCAATCTCGCACTTATGCTCAAATTTCCTCTAATAAAAAAATTCTACTTATAATATAACGTATAACAGTGGTGTGGTCAAGAAAAAGTGGTTAAGAGAGGGCTATAGTCCCCCACTGTTTCTATATGTAAACTAACATTTAGTATTTTATATAAGTATCAAATAAATATTGGTGGCCGGTGGGTATTACAAATGCGTAGACAATAATATTGAACATCGTTATATTACCGTATGTTCATGGGAAGCCTTGAGATAGATACATAGCATAGGCGGTCAACTTGTGGCTCGCGAGTCATTTAATGTGCCCTCTCGCGTCATTGTCAGATGATGCTCGCGTCTTATTTACAAAATCAACATTTACTTAATATTATTATAAATTTTAATTTTTAGGTATTAACTTATAAAAATTATTAAATTATATAAAATGTGTCTATAAAAATGTTGGCTCTTGGTATCATTGTATTTATCTATGTGACCCGCGAACCTATTCATGCTGGCCACCCCTGATATATAGTATATATTTGTTTTCCTATAATGTGGCAATTGTTTTTTTAAAATATTTTTTAGTCGCGATTAATCAAGCCCATGAATTTATAAATTGTAATTGCCATAATTGTTCACCCAATGGTATGTGGTAATTTAACTAGACCCAAAAACCAATAAATATAAAAAAAAAGGCAACATTTGTTAAAGTAAAATTATTCCTACTTATTATAAAATTATGCCATCTATTTTTTCTACTAAAAAATTTAAAGATTATCATTATATAATTTAGAAAACAGTCATTGCAGCTTACTACTATCCTTTTTCGAATATATAATTTCTTTCAAATTGATTGATTTCTCTCTCTAGATATTTAATGTTATATGGTAGATTGGTATTTAAAATAAAATATTCAGTTTGTAATAAATTCTAGGTTTTTACGACATATTGAAAATCTTTTTTTTATGTTTTTTGTATATTTCACTCATAAATTATACGGATCAATATTATTTTCAATACTTGTGTATAATTTTCCAATTTATAATTTTATTTTACTTTACTTTATATTTACTATCTAACATTTTAACAGATTCGAGTAAATCTGTCTCTTTTAGTATTTGTTTTAATAATGAGTATAAATATTTAAATTAAATTTTTGTCTTCAAACCATAATATTTATTGTTTTTGTCAGAAAAAAATGGTAAATAAATGATTACTATCAAAATAGTTATTATAATATTCAAATAGCGAACGATATCATTTAAATTACATATGAAAAAAATACAAAACATGCAATCAATCTCCAAACTATAAGCGGACGCCCGCTATATAGTTCTATTTTTTTTTAATATTTATTGAACAGATCTGTATATAAAAAAAAATAATACAGCGATAGGTAAAGTATAAACAAAAGTATTATAACAGTGCAGCATGGCTAAAAGAACAATTGAACATTTTATATGTTTAGTAGTCGTTAAAGTATACTTATAAACAATATAAGGTTTATAATTTTTTTATTATACTAAATTATTAAAAGAAAATTTGACATTTTGCTGTGCTGAAAATTAATTCTAAAAAAATTTTCTTGATGACGTATTATTTTAACGACATTATATCATATTGAACATAATATTATGCTCTTAAAGTGTCAAAGAATATTAAATTAAGAAATATTATAAGAACTTAGTAGAACTAACATATTGATCGATTCTACAAAAAAAAAATAAATATAATATTGAAGTTTAACATCAAGGATCACATGTTTGCAAAAAAGTATAGATCTTAATACTCTGCATTTGCCAAAATAACCGTAATATTTATGTGTCATAAATATTCTGTTTATTAATTAAGAGGATTATAATATATAATATTATCTATACGTAAAGTATATAAGTGACCACTAATTAGTAACATTATGTTCAGTGGCAAACTATGTTCACAGGATATCAGGACTTATCACAATTATTTGCGACAGCAGGGACAGTGGGCTGTTCATATTAATAACAGAAATCCTTGTTAGTAGTTATAAAGAAAAATATTTACAATGATATTGATTTTGAAGACATAATATAGACATTTTTAAAAATAAAATAAAATTATTAGATAAAAAGCTATATACATTTGTTTTATATGAAAAACATTACCTAATTAATTAAACATCTGCATTGCAGATATTTACAAAGCATGCATTAATATTCTAAAAAAACAACTAATATATATATATATATATATATATCCAGGATGAAACAAATTTGAGGGTTTGTAAAATAGTTTTCTCGAGCCAAATTTTATTCTTAGTTGGTCTGAGTTTTAATATTAAGTTAGGTATCAACTATCAAAAGTATTTTTTGATTATTTATCAAGATAGTTGAGATATTATTTCAGGTAATAAAAATAAAAGTACCTACGCAACAACAACATTTTTAAAACATAATAAAATATCAAAATCAAGAAAAAAAATACTTAGATTTCGATTTCCGACAGTATATTCAATACAAGTCTTGAGTATCAAGTTATCGTATAAAATTATCACCCATTTTTAAAAACATTGAAATTCCAAGCCAATCCCCAGTTATAGTTATATATATATATTTATGGTTCTATTTAATTAGTAGGTACCTGTAAGCTCTCAAACAACTTACCGCCGCACTGTATAAAGGTCAAGATGACAACCGAAGATGAAGTCTAATATTTGGGTTCGGCTTCTCTAAGAAACTGCGTTAAATTAATATTTGCTCGTAGTTCACACAATATAAATATTGATGTATGACTGGTGTTGGATTGAACCATCGCGGAAGGCGGGTAAATAGAAATCGTGAAGAAAAACATAGTGCCAGAATATACTAAGACAGTGAATAGTATTGCTATACATTCACAAAAGTAAAAAGTATAGAGTGTAAATGTCCCACAAGTATTTACTAAATTTAAATGGTGACAGAACCTATATGCGTTGCCTTATTAGTATTACTACACAATCATTTAAAATTAGTAAGCCTTAAGTGAGACATTTATGTGTTAACTTTTAATTTAAAACAAACAAAATAGATTTTATTTTAAAAAATCCAAATTATTTTTTATTCATGTATAGTATAATACTTATTTTATAGTTTTTTACACATTATCATTTTTAAATAAATTCTAATAGAATTAGATATAGATTTAACTTTAAGTAAGAACAAAACGTAATGTTCAATGGGTATAATCATCAAACAATTTTTACATATAGAGTATTTTATCATTTACATAAAATGTTCAATGCAATATTTAATCCACAAACCTATAATACTGTAGTGATTATCTAATAAGAATTATAAATTATATTATTTGTATACAAATAATTGAAAAATGTAAGTTTATTATCTGTCACAAAAATTCTAAGGTATATGACCATATGGATACCGTAAATTATACATTTATAAATTATGATAATAATTAGAATACAGATTTGTATTAATTGCGTACATATATGTGACATTATATATACATCATAATAAATATCGCAATAGTGCATTGCGCGTGCCGAGGTCGAGTGAAATGCATTATTGAAGTCACCCGCATGCAACAACATACTGCATTGGCACGTGTTGGCATTTTGGATTAAATTGCATCCTGGAGATTGTTTTTGCCAAAAACAAGTATCAAAACAATTCCAAGAATATATACGAAATGCAAGGCCATGGACTACAATAACAAGAAGCTTTTTCATATATAAGGGAGCCCAGAGATTAGCAAGATCAGATGTACCATAGCTATTAAGATTCAAGCACCTTCAATCACTCATCCGCTATAGTACAATTTTACATGTACTTTAGTTTTAGTAAAAATATATATATTGTTGTATCGATTTATTTAAAACACCTAAACTTGGTTGCTGAAACTACGCACGCAACAATTATTTTTTGAATTTTAGTTTTATGTTTTTCGAATAAGATTGAAATAAATAGTTAAACGTGAATACAGATAAATATTGGATATGTTCTGTAGGGCATGGACTAATTGCATTAGTATTCAAATTTTTCTTCCTTCAAATATGAAAATATTATTGTTCAAAAAATCGATTAGTTTATTAATTTATTATATAATTTATTGTATAACTAACTAAAAAGTTTTCTTTAAATATTGTAAAGTGTATAGAACGCAATTAGTAAATTT